GCCTATTCTTAATGTTGTCTTCTTGGTTATTATTTTGGGGGGCCACTCAGACCCGTCAGATTTTTAAGGGGGCCTCGGTGTTACTGAGTTTGGGAATGGCTGGTATAGTGATTTACAAATTTATATTATTTACAGGTGGTGCATCAAGAGGCAGTTGCTGTGCACAAAAAAGGTAAAAGAACTATTTCTATTCTTGTACATCCCATGGCAATATAATATAATAATAATAATATAGTATACTGTGTTTGGTCCAAAAGTAGTCAGTCGATAATGTGGGAGGAAGGCCTTCATTGTATTTTATGTATTGATTTATTGTAACAAATTCACTGTATAATATAGTTATTGTGTGTATCCATTTTCCAGCACGTTCGTCACCCAGAAGCTCTGGGGAAGATGGCTGACAGGAGGATGAGTGGGAGCCGAGTCAGTTGCCCTTCACAGGAGCTCCTGGACCACAGAGGCTGCGGACAGAGGCTGCAAAGCTGGATTCATCTGATCCAGACTTTCTGGAGCTGGATTCATCTGATCCAGACTTTCTGGAGCTGGATTCATCTGATCCAGACTTTCTGGAGCTCTTCTTCACGGAGGGAGAACTACAAATGGTACACAGCGTGTCGTGTTCCGTTGCACACAGTGTTTCAACCTCTACAACTCAAAGCTGAACTACTGGGAGGACTGAAAAAGCAGATGAACTCACTCATACACACACTCACGAACACTCACACGCACACACACACGAACACACACACGCACTCACTCACTCACGCGCACACAGACACACACGCACTCACTCACGCACACAGACACTCACTCGCACACTGACATTCACACACACACACTCAAATTCACACGCGTCATTCTATTTTATACATCTATAGTTTTATTGATCTTGTGTTGTTGTTGTTTGACGTTTTGGTTGATGGTATAGAAGAAAGTTAAATTTTCTATCTGTGAATAAATTGCCAACAATTTGCCATCAAAAGTATTATTTCAGAGTCATGGTTTTTATAATTTTTGTAATGGAACAAGTGTGAAGATGTTTTGAGTTGTCACTAAAGCAGCAAAAATGCATCTAAAGTCTCTTTTCTGCTTGATATGTTCCTGTTTACATACAGCTCGTTTTCTCTGTTTTCTTGCTCAGACCAGGTGTTGTGGGTGAAAGTATGCTTTGTTCTATGGCGAATAGCTCCAGAACGGTAAGAGGTAGAAACAAACTGTTTTTTTCAGAGTAAAGCAGAGAGGTTAATCTTTAATTTGGTGCCCTTGGTGTTTACATTGTCTAATAAATGAATATTCTGTGGCACTTCAAAGTTGGGTCAAATCACCTGAAATTGCTGGCAGAACGCACTTCTCAAATCTGAAAATGCCTGGCAGTCAGTGAGTTATTATAGCTCCATGTTATTATCAGATCCATGTTATTATCATAGATCCATGTTATTATTCTAGATCCATGTTATTATTATAGATCCATGTTATTATTATAGATCCATATGTTATTATTATAGATCCATGTTATTATCATAGATCCATGTTATTATTATAGATCCATGTTATTATCATAGATCCATGTTATTATTATAGATCCATGTTATTATTATAGATCCATGTTATTATCATAGATCCATATGTTATTATCATAGATCCATATGTTATTATCATAGGTCCATGTTATTATTATAGATCCATGTTATTATTATAGATCCATATGTTATTATTATAGATCCATAGGCTTCTTAAAAAGCCTTAAATTAGGCTTTTAAAGAAGCCTAATTTAAGCACTACTGATTTTAACAATTTTAGACCCATTTCAAAACTTCCTTTTTTATCCAAAGTTTTAGAGAAAATTGTTTCAATTCAGATTTTAGATTTTATTAATGAGAACCACATCTGTGAGAAATTCCAATCAGGTTTTAAAGCACAACACAGTACAGAGACAGCCCTCCTTAGAGTTTTAAATGACCTTCTTTTAACCACAGACAGCGGAGGGTGCTCTATTTTAATTCTTTTAGACCTAAGCGCAGCCTTCGACACGATCAACCACAGGATTTTATTGGATCGCCTCAAAACGTGGGTTGGCATCAGAGATACTGCACTTGGTTGGTTTCATTCTTATCTTTTAGACAGAACCTTTGCGGTCACCATGGGTGATTTTACCTCCTCTACAGCCCCCATTACCTGTGTTGTGCCGCAAGGTTCTATTTTAGGTCCCATTTTATTTTCTATTTATATGCTCCCCCTAGGACACGTTATGGCCCGTCATAACGTGTCCTTCCACTGCTATGCGGACGACACACAGATCTACCTCCCGCTGAGACCAAACGACCCTGGAAGTCTGGCTGCTGTGGTCGACTGTTTTAACGATGTGAACCGTTGGATGGCCCATAACTTTCTACAGCTCAACACCTCCAAATCAGAAGTCCTCCTCATCAACCCGCCTCCATCTATATCCCACATCCAAACCCACCTCGGCCCCCTTTCCTCAAACATCACTCCCTCCGCCCGTAACCTTGGTGTCATTTTTGATTCTCACCTCACTTTCCGCTCCCACATCAATAAAACCACCCAAACCTCCTTCTATCACCTCCGCACAATCTCAAAGATTAAAAACATCCTCACTCCTCCCGATCTCCATAAAGTTGTCAACGCCCTCATCTTCTCCCGCCTCGACTACTGCAACTCCCTCCTCTCCAATCTCGACGCTAAATCCCTCTCCCGCCTCCAACTGGTTCAGAACGCAGCAGCCAGACTTCTCCCTGGTTTTAACAGAAGGGAGCACATCACCCCTGTTTTAGCGTCTCTCCACTGGCTCCCTGTGCGTTTTAGAATTGATTTTAAGATTTTACTGATTACTTTTAAAGCTCGTTTAGGTCTGGCACCAAGCTATATTTCTGAACTTTTAACCCCCTACGAGCCCCCCCGCAGCCTTAGATCCTCGAGCAGGTCCCTGTTGACTGTTCCAAGGTCGAGGCTCCGGACGAAAGGTGACCGAGCCTTCTCTGTCCGGGCTCCTCGGCTTTGGAACGACCTGCCCGAGGAGATAAGGCTAGCACCATCAGTATCCTCTTTTAAATCTCTTCTTAAAACCCACTTTTATCAAACAGCTTTTAACTGTTAGTTTTAAACTTCCGATGCTGTATTTTATTGTCTGCTTTGTCTTTGTTGAGTCTCTTTTGTGTTTTGCTCTGTTTGCTTTGTGTTTCTGTATCTAATTATTTTGACCTTGCATTATGACTGTTTTTATTGTTTATCATGCTGACTGTGCTGCGCTTTGTAAACACTGTTTTTAAAAGTGCTATACAAATAAAGATTATTTTTATTATTATTATTATAGATCCATGTTATTATCATAGATCCATGTTATTATTATAGATCCATGTTATCATTATAGATCCATGTTATTATTATAGATCCATGTTATTATCATAGATCCATGTTGTTATTATTATAGATCCATGTCATTATCATAGATCCATGTTATTATTATAGATCCATGTTATTATTATAGATCCATGTTATTATTATAGATCCATATGTTATTATCATAGATCCATGTTATTATCAGATCCATGTTATTATCATAGATCCATGTTATTATTATAGATCCATGTTATTATTATAAATCCATGTTATTGTCATAGATCCATATGTTATTATTATAGATCCATGTTATTATCAGATCCATGTTATTATCATAGATCCATGTTATTATCAGATCCATGTTATTATCATAGATCCATGTTATTATTATAGATCCATGTTATTATCATAGATCCATGTTATTATTATAGATCCATGTTATTATTATAGATCCATGTTATGATCAGATTCATGTTATTATCATAGATCCATGTTATTATTATAGATCCATGTTATTATTATAGATCCATGTTATTATCAGATCCATGTTTTTATTATAGATCCATGTTATTATTATAGATCCATGTTATTATCAGATCCATGTTATTATTATAGATCCATGTTATTATTATAGATCCATGTTATTATAGATCCATGTTATTATTATAGATCCATGTTATTATCATAGATCCATGTTATTATTATAGATCCATGTTATTATTATAGCTCCATGTTATTATCAGATCCATGTTATTATCATAGATCCATGTTATTATTCTAGATCCATGTTATTATTATAGATCCATGTTATTATTATAGATCCATATGTTATTATTATAGATCCATGTTATTATCATAGATCCATGTTATTATTATAGATCCATGTTATTATTATAGATCCATGTTATTATTATAGATCCATGTTATTATCATAGATCCATGTTATTATTATAGATCCATGTTATTATCATAGATCCATGTTATTATCATAGATCCATGTTATTATCATAAGTCCATATGTTATTATTGTAAGGTGAAGAAAGAGGGCAGGCACCAGTCGAGCGTGAAATAGCTGCCCTTCTCGTAAACAGGCCCCTCCCGGGCCCCGGGAACTTCAAAAGAAACTACGGGTTCAATGAAAGGCTAAACTCTGCCAGGACACTGCAAGAAAACAGACAGAGGGGCAATAAAACAGCAGAACAAACATCGGTACGCCCTCCTGCCTGACAGAGAACAGGCATCATTCACCCATTGATCGCTCAGAACACATTCCACAAACCTGAGACTCACCCGCGGCGTTCTGGCGCCCCCCAGTGGACACCGAACACCATCACACCCGGCACGGACAGTGTGTAGACCAGCTCCTGACTCAGTATTAGTCCCATACGTCTGTACCGTGCCCTACATGTGTGTATCATTGTCGAGTAATGAAATGCGGTGTGTGTTTGTACAATTTGTTATGGTTGTCCGTATTAATCTTGTGTGTTTCCCTTGTAAACTGCCTGTTGTAAGAAGGTTGTCGCACATGGATGACGTCAAGGACGCGCCCCTCCAGAAGTCAATATAAACACACACAATGCAACAGAACTGCCTCTTGTCCTTCCCTGAAATCACCATCGCAGCTTTCCTGCCCTCCGTGTCCCATGGTACGCGTCTCCTACTGCGGCCGCGCCTGCACGCATTGGGCCTTCTACTCCGCAACACAGCCCTCCTTCCTGGCTCGGGATCTTACGAACTGTTACACCACCAGCCTCTTTTCCTGGCTGGACCCTCCGCACACAACTCATTCCGGACTGAGTCGTGTATGCGTGGATCAAAGTTGGACTGTATCGCTGGCTTCGTATATCCCGCCTGCCCGGACAAAGAAACCACGTGGGCTCTTCCCATCCCAAATCCTTTCTTCATCCTCTACGCTCCTCAAAAGTAAGACTGTTCCTTTGTTGGATGTGTGTTTCAAATGAGATGTATACAACTTCTGTTTAATGTGACCAGAAATCCCCTTCGTTATATTTCCTATCTTCATTTTTGTAGTCAATAAAACCCCTTTACTTTTAACTCAATCATATCAGAGTCGTGTTGTTAAGTCTTGGATATCTCTGGCTGATTTATGCATTCACTACCTATTAGATTATAAGACTGATTCGAGGCAAATTAGTTGGATCTGTGCAGAAGCTTTAACTCTGCTGGTGCCCAAAAATAAAAAGCAGATCCCCACTCGAATAGGACGGCCAGCCTCTGATTTGGAGACTAGCCGCACTATTCTTCTCTTACAATTTATAGCTTACAGGACAATTATTACCCTACATATATGATGCCCTGTTTGTGAGATCCGCGCATATAACCAGATTTATCAACTCTTATTCTGATAACTTGACTGGAATACGCTAGCTTACTGCTGCCCACGCTTCCGGCGCTCTCCCCCCACCTCCTCACCCCACACATCCCTGCTACCCCCGCCGCCATAGTGATTTCAACGACAATCGAGCCCCCCCCGCGCCCCGCTTGCGATAAAGCGACACGTGCACGTACAAGACTATATTAATTTAGTCTTAAATCCCGGCTTGTACTGGGTACTACGCAACTCTGCAACGTTAACGCCTCGCCAGGCCAGCGAGTGCGACGTGAGTTGACGAAGCCGCTCCCTCTCTTAAGAGACAGCGCAAAAACCCCCCTAAACCACAGTACGCCGTGCCCGGAACACGGGCGTACAAACCTACTCTGTGTCCCTTTGTGACCCGTGTCACGGAGGCCTGTAACAGAGTGTTTTATGTGTATAAAGGCTGCGAATGGCAGCGGTTTGAATGTGATGCTATTGTTCTGCTAAGGTGGCTACCGCTAACCCTGTCTCACCACTGTCTCCTCCTGCTAACCTGCTGTTGTACACACACACCAGGACTCTACAGTACATTACAGACAACTCCATCCCACCACTGCAAATACGTGCTTGTGCGAACCGTATAACTCGCTGCGAGACTTTTTCTTGTCGAATCGGCTGCTAGTCCTCCGCGCTCGAAAGCTAACGGCTAGCTACATTCCTTTGTTCTAGCATAAGGCTAACTTCCGCCCTTGGGCGCTAGGTTCGAGGCTACGCTCGAACAAAGCCCCTGCTCCTAATACCACTCTCCCACTATAAGCTGCTTTTCTACTGTTAAAACTAGTGCCACTCTGTTTAACCAAACTACATTCGGTTGCCAAAACTCAATGTTTACTGCCTAAACTACCGCTAAGCCTGCTGCTTTCGGCAAGCTACAAGCTAGCTACAACCCTCTGTTTTTAGCATACGGCTAACTTCCGGCCCCGGTGCGCGAAAAGCCTGCGCCGCCGCCGCGTCTGCTCTGCTATACTATTCTGCCTGCTGCATTGCTTACCCGTTGCCTAACAATAACACTACTTTCTGTTCTTTCGAGCTATTCTGCGTCCCACCGCCGCTGCGCCTCACCGCCGCTGCGCCTCAAGCTACGCCGCGCCCCACGCTGCGTCTCAAACCGCCGCTGCGTCTCAAGTTACGCCGCGCCCCACACTGCGTCTCAAGACGCCGCTGCGTCCCTAACGCCGCAGTTGCGCCTCACCGCCGCTGCGTCTCAAGCTTCGCCGCGCCCCACGCTGCGTCTCAAACCGACGCTGCGTCTCAAGCTACGCCGCGCCCCACGCTGCGTCTCAAGACGCCGCTGCGTCTCAAGACGCCGCTGCGTACCTAACGCCGCAGTTGCGCCTCACTGCCGCTGCGTCTCAAGCTACGCCGCGCCCCACGCTGCGTCTCAAACCGACGCTGCGTCTCAAACAACGCCGCGCCCTTGCGCCGCGCCCTACCGCTGCGCCCTACCGCTGCGTATTAACGCCGCGCCCTAATACTGCTGCTACCGCTGGTGCCACTACTACCCCTGCGTGCGCCAACGCCACTAACCCCAACGCTCTTCGCTGAAACACAGGTGAAGAAGTACTAACGCCCGACCCCTGTCCTAGGCCGCCTACTCGCATACACCGCCACACGGAGAGGACGCTGTAGTCACGGCTTTGACACACACCGGGGTGTGCACCACCACACAAACAACAGCTGTACTACCCTCTCTATAGCACTGCTTTCCTCCTTTCCTCCTCCCACCGTGCCATGCACACACGTTCCAAGTCATACTCGCATACACTCACCCACACAAATATGGAAATCGATGGCGGAAACTCGCCACGACCGAGCAAGCACAACGGTGTCTCAGAAGGACACGGCATAGTGGATAAGGAGAAGTTATTCCCAGGGGGGTACGACACGCTTGTGCACAGCTCACTCTCTGACTTACAAGATGCCACCTCCTTATTGGCATCCGAGGCTACTACGACGAAACTCCAAGGTAAGACCCTAACCCAGTGGCTAGGACGACTAGCCATAATCTCCAGAATAACCTTGCGCGACTCCGAAGCCCAGAAAGCAAGGCTCCAAAACACAGTGAGTGACCTGGAACGACAACTGGCGGAAACTAGGAAATCCGCCGCGACCCGCTTGGAACAAATCCAACAGGTAAGTAGGGACCACCAACAGGGACTGAGCATGACTCCAAGCGCGACCATGGATCTTGATCGCGCAGCGGAAATCAGGACCGCTATTTCGAACGGAACCGGCCGTGACAGTACCTCCGGGCCACACTCCCCTCGCTCCGACCGCGGCGAACCATCGTCCAACTGTGAACGCAGGAGCGTGGCCAAACTGGTAAGTATCATGACGGGAAAGGACCAAAATCAAGGTCAAAGGAACAATACACAACCCAACATTAGACACGTCGACCACTGCGACCCCCACGACGCCCCTCCGGGAACACACATGGACATGCGACACAGACAACATGACTATCCAACCCATGACCCTGGCCCACCTGACGTCCATACGAGACATGTTTCAGACTGCAGCCATTGGGACGAAAGGGCCCGCCCTGAACATAGCGGACAAACCTACAACGACCCCCCTGGCCCACATCAGAACATGCTACATGGACCACACGACTTACGGTGCCCCAAGTCTGGGCCGTCCGCATATGCTGCGACACAATGGCCAGTGACCCACGATGGGAACGCCGGGGACCTCCCCAATCATGGAGGACAACCCCGCGGCACCCCCCCTGACGCACGCCAGGACTTAACCCTAGGCCAACGGTACTACCCGGACTGCGCACCCTCAGATGGGCCCGTTACAGCCAAACCAAACCACACAAACAAAGCCCCATGGGACAAGCAGGGCACACTACAAACCCCAGTTAGGAACACACCACGTGACCTCAAACACGATTAGCCCACTAACACTCTTCTCGGCTGCACTAATCGAGTCTCTCTTTCCCCCTCTCTGTCTAACCCCTCACAATTGTTTCACGCCTTACAGAACATGTGGCCCACTTTCCTTCTCATGCTGACCTGCATACTGTGCCTCGGCACCCCAGAAATTATCGAGACCGGACCAGCCTCCGGGATTGTTTTAAAGGAACAACCCGGGCTCCTCATCACGGACGTCCGACTCCACACACAGCGAATCTTTGTCAGACTCAATCCTAGTGAAGTCTGCCGCAAGAACCTGCCCTTGAAGGTCACACTCAAAGATTGGGCAGGTGCACGCTGGACCCAGACGGTCGTGGAGCACGCTGAGGCAGACATACAACACATGCTGACGCAACTAGAGAAGTTCACGATCACTAGGACAGAGCTCAGTGACCCTCGCCCCAGACCCAAACGATTTATTGGGGCTCTCCTCGGCGCGGCGTCCGCCCTGGGCACCCTCTTTAGCCTAGGGATGTCCACGGTAAACGCCATTAGCCTATCCTCCCTCAGACGCCACCAACAAGAAATGGCCTCTGAACTCGAGGATGTCAAAACCAGACTTGACCAACAACAGAACGACGTGGTGACCTTGGGAAAGTCCCTGAAAGGAACCATGCTAGTACTTAACACGCACGAGGTTGCGATTAAACGCACCTCCGCTGCGGTCAACCAACTCTTAGACGTTCTCCAACTAGACTACGCCCATACTCAGCTGACCACCCAACTGATGGAGGACATGCTACGTCACCTCAGTTCCTCGATCGAAAACCTAGCCATGGGCCGTATCCCGCCATACCTCGTGCCGCTATCGTTAGTCGAGGACATCCTAGCCGTAGCCACACGGGACGCCGTAACCCCCATGCAAGCCCACTTAGCGTACACGCTGGGCGCTGCAGTCCCCATCTATGTTAATCCTCTGGACCGCGAGGTAGCCTTCCTAGTCACCCTACCGATAGTTCCCGGCGATAAAATCTACCGGCTAAAAGGGATCACTAACCTAGGGACCTGGAGGGACAATGCCCACGTCAGAGTCCAGACCCCAGACATAGTAGCCTACCACGACAGTAACCCCAATTTGTACCTAACGCCAAATCTAAGGATGTGTACCCTCACCAAGGACATCCATTACCTCTGCCCCAGCAAACCCTTCGTCAGGGACAGCACAGATGGCATCTGCGGCCTGAGGCCCATGACTCCAGGGAGTCGATGCCCCGCGACGGTCACCTCTCGGAAACAAATAACCGAAACTAGAGCAGAGATTGTAGGGGCACGATGGCTAGTGAACACTCCCCTTAGAACGGCGACCCTGACCTATGACAAACACGACACCTCGTCCCGAGTAAGCCTCCCGGACGAAACCTTTTGGGTCGACGTCCCAGCCGACGCTATCCTACACGTAGGCGACCTGGCACTATACCACCTGTATCCGAACCAGTACGAGGCAGAGGTCGAGGTACCAGAGTTCTTTGAGGAAAGGGCCTTGGAACTTCAACCCTCCACCCTCGTCCAAGCCACCTACGAGGGGGCACAAACCGTTGACGTTACGGTCGTAGACAACCTCCTTCAAGAGATTGCCAAGCGACCGACCATCCACCACCAACCAGTAGCCTACTCCTGGGCCGCCCCCGATACAGTCATGGCCATCGCGGTAGGACTCGGGTACGGCCTGGCCGTAGCCACGGCCTTCGTCCTAAATAGACGGGTTAGACGACTCCGCGATAACTTTAACAGGTGCACGGAGGCAATGACGAGACAGATCCGTAGACGACCAAACCGGGGCGACAGCGCCGTCGAGCGTGGCAATTTAAGTCGCCGCCCCCAAGTCAACGAATCAGAGTACGAGGACCTCCAAAGCCACCCACTCGAGACGGTCACTCTTTCTATCACGGAAGGTGAACCAAGGGCCTAAAACCCCACTAATGGCACTTTTCCACAGCACCGGCACTACACCACTCTACACGACACGTCACGACCCGGTCGAGTACGCGTGCTTTTCCACATATCTCCATCGGACATCTTCAAGTGGGTGGGCTTTTCATACCACCGCTACCGTTACGTCATTTCCGCTACCGTTACGCCATTTCCGCGCGACTCACGAGCATTAAACCAGGAAAAACATTACATCCTCAAACAATGGAGGACTCCGAGCCGATCGTGGTGTTGCTGCTCTCTCTGTGGCTACTAGTCACAAATAGACTGAAAAGCCTGAGAAGAATCCAGGCGGCGAGACACCAAAGAATGACGAAGTTATTGAAAACCTTGCAGGAGTTTGCAGTTGAGGACAGGAGACAACGAGCTGAAAAAAGACGACGTTTGTGGGTAAGCTAATATTGCTATTGCTAGCTTTGTAGCAGCCGTCCTGAACAAAATGGCTGCTGGCTGTCTCTATAAATCATTAAAATGTGTATGCTGTATGTGTGTGTTTCAGATGCTTCTCGGGTTGCGTCGCCGCCGCAAGCCATCGGTGTGGGCCTTAAACCGAGCCTCCGAGTGGTGGGATAATGTAGTCCCAAGCTTCAGCAACACGCAGTGGGTGCAGAATTTCCGAATGTCCAAAGAAACGTTTGATTACCTCTGCACAAAGCTGCGCTTGACATGAAGCACTTTAAGCAACTGTTTGTTTTAAAAGTTAAACTCATCGATTCGTATTCAGAGGGGTGCAGAAGCAGTGAACTGTGTTCCGTTGTTTTTGGTTCTATTTGAAGGCCAGCTACATGGGGACACCGATGGGAAGCTGCTGATTGGAGGTCTCCATGCCTCCGACTCTGTGATGAACTACACGTGTGATTTGTTGTTGTATTGTCTCGTGCGGTCTCTACATCGAAATTAAAGACATGTTTCTGTGCGTGAAGTTAAAGACGCGATCCCAGGAACATGTCATATTCTTCACTAACGCTCAGAACAACAGGCTGATTTAGAAACAGCAATAGTGTTGCCATCAATGCTGACTAATCAGACTCGACTTCTGGTTCTTTGTAACGTTACCCGCGGCTCCGCAGTCCAGCTGGCAGGGACGCCGGGAAGCCGAGGCGCCATGGGCTGATCTGGCACTCGGTCCGTAAAGAATGTGAGTTTGTTTGTTACGAGATTGTTTTATTGTGTTAGACAAAAGTCAATAAAAGTGGAACAGACTTCAGGTATGAACTCTGTCCGGGTACAGCTGCCACCAGTTCTGTGCAAGGGTGCGAGCAACTGCGGTCACTCGTGTGGCGAAGCTTCATTTTATTTATGTTCATTCTTCTTATTTTATTTATTAGTTTATTTATTCAGCCATGACATTATTACAATGATACTGAAAATATAATAACCCACAAATAGTTCAAGTGTCCATTACATGTTGCTGAATAGGCATGTGGAAGACAAAAGTCTTATGTATCTGCCCCTTGAGAAGACAGTATTTTTAGTTTACAGATTAAAGATGGGGATGGCGACGCCTTTATACGGTTTATTATCATTATTAGTATTAGTTATTTTAGTATAATAATCATTAATTTTCCTTTGCACAGTAGCAATCTTGTACACCACTTTGCTGTGGTTATTGTGTGAACTTTTAAGGTGCGTGCAGACCAAAACGGTCGTTGAGCGTCCAAAGCGTCGGGTTTTTACATTGACAGTAACATGGGAGGGCACGCGGTCTGAGGGAGCGCAAGAGATAGTGGGCAGCGGGTGAGTTCAAGCGTGTTTGGAACGTTGGCGCGCGGGTGTTTGGAGCATTTCGAGCGTGGCTATGAACGCATGTGTCTTTTGCTCATTAATAAAGGGTCATTTGAGCAGATGGACAGTCCTCACTATCCAAAGACGGGTTTAAAGTGGGTTAGCGATGCTTCTAGGTTTTATTTGTGTGGAACATGTCCAAGTATAATTATCTTCGTGTTCCTCCTCCAGGTGTCTGTATCCGCCTCAGTGTCTAGTTCCTCCCTCAGCCCCCCCCCCCCCCCCCCCCCCCCCCCCCCCCCCCCCCCCCCCCCCCCCCCCCCCCCAAAGATAAATGTACTGTTCCTCCTCAGTGTCTGTGTTGAGTTAACATGAGGTTGTTCTTTTTCAGAAACTTTTGAGTGAAATGAACTTTCTCTGACCGCAAACAAAATGCATACGGATAGCTTCACGCCTCCAGCTTCACCTCCAGCTTCGACCTGCCATCACCTCCAGGCAGTTTCTATTTTACTCATCAGGTGTCATTGAATAGTAGAACAGGGGGATCTGCATCTGCTCGAAGGACGGAGGAGCGAGGCAGGAGCAGCAGCGGAGCAGCAGCAGGTGGTGCAGCAGAAGCAGCCAGCAGGTCCTGGGCGTCTGCCTCCGACACCGCTTCATAGAGAGGCCTGGGTGAAATAAAAGGAAATATTAAATTGTTGGTGTGTATGTTATAATGTGAGTGTTTTCGTGTGGACGTGAAGTGGTAAGAGAGTCATGAAAAAGTAGGTTTTATTTACACAGGTACATATGTTGTCGGCAGTACTTAAAGTTCTAATGGAATCATTCAAGCTCTAATCCTAGATCAGTAACAGGGGGGTTCTGTGGCTTTTCAAGACTCCAAAAGAGGCAGTGGTTATTCATACAATCCATGGATCTTGAATTATATAGACCATGGATATTATTATTAAGATCCATGAGTATATTATAGTGAGATCCATGTAATATTATGTAGATACCATGGGACAATTATTATTATGGATCGTCATGGACATTCCTTTTTCATCAGAAATACCACGTTATGTACATTTATGGTAAGTGTTGCACAAACAAGGCGATAAGAAATAAACCAATCCTAAATCATTTAATCGACATGTGTGCATTGTTTACATACAATAAGACTTAGTTAAAAAGCGAAAGATTACTGCCAATACAATTTTATAACGAGTGTTATTGTTATAACAATAATAAACGCTTTTTCACTGCACATCAGAGTTCAAAGCGAGGTTTACACTTGTTATTTTTGGGAGTGGGGGGCGCCAGTTACAGGAGGCACATGTCAGGCGCTGTACTGTACCTTTTTCGTGTAGGAGGAAACCGGGAGCACCCGGAGGAAACCTACGGCAGACCATCGGGGGAGGTAGACATGGGCAAAACCTGACACTAAAGAATAAGGCCGCTTGTCCCAACCGGGGAATTCGAACCCAAGGTGTAGCACTTATGTTGGCTAGATAAATAGCAAGTTCCAATGTAAATACTTCCATAGTAGTGTCAACAAGTTCAGTAGTTAGGCTAGTTCAATCAGAAAGAATAGAAGTAAGACTCAGGGAGAGAAGGGCATAAGGGACTGGGTTTGTAGTGGATGGCAGTATTAGAAGAGAGGTACCATGTATTGTACGCACAGGGATAGGACAATAGTTGAGTGATAAGATGGAAGTTGGAGGAAAGGGCGTTCTCACGCACATACTCAATCCAAATACACGTCAATACGACAGAAGGGCCAAAGTATTAATATACAGCAAGTCATAGGTAGACGTACGTTGCTTTTCTCCGGTCCTCCGGGGTGTGTTGTTGGAGCGAGGATTAGCCTATGAGCTGTGAGTAGTATGATATATTGCTCTTCTGTGTATTGTGAGGCTGTATTTGGGATTTGGAGTATGTGTGAGATGGCTCGTTCTAAATTCTGTGTGTCAGAAGGTGATGTCTCATTGTGTACAAAACATGTAGGTACCTTTTTAGATATAGGCAAACTACAGGAACCAGTTCTGGCTGCTCTTCTCTCCCTGAGTCTTATCTATTCTTTGCTGAGTTGTGAACTAGCCTAAGATACTGAACTTGTTGAAGACTGTATGTGTAGTATATATTGTGAAGAGTGAGTATTTATTTAGCAACATAAGTGCCTCACCTGGGTTCGGTATCGCCGGTTGTGGACCAGGGGCCTTTCTGAGGTGGAGTTTGCTGTTCTGTCCCCGTGTCTGGTGGGGGTTTTCTGAGCGGGTGCTCGGCAGAGGGGACCGGGTTCACGGGAGGAGTGCGGCCTACCACGTAAGAAATTGTGTACAGGTAGGTCAATACATGGGCCTCCGTTTAGCTGGCGCCCCCCATCTCCAAAAATAGAACAGATTGTAAACGCTTTGAGCTCTGTGGATGTGCGTGAAAAGGTCTCATGATTGTTATAACACTAAAGACAACTCTGTGTATGAAAGAACAATTGGGAATTTGGCCAGGTTAATCATCGTTTTTGAGCAAAGTTCATATTGTATGTCAACAATGCAGCCAAGTGATGAATGTGAATTTAGTGATTGATTTAATTTGCTATGGCTTGTTTGAGTGATCAAGTTCATAATGTATAATAACGGGTTCGGGGTTGCTGATAGAGAAAGGGAGGGAATGTCCATGGATCTATTAAATACTACTGAACCTCAGTGAGATCTTATATTACTATCCATGGGAATCGTATGACAGTAGATAATATCCATGGATCTGTAAAAATATCTCCATGGAGGATGCATGATAATAATAGTATCCATGGATCTGGAATTATAACGGCAGGACTGCTCTTTTTGGAAGTCTGTGAAAGCGAACAGACTGTTACGATCAGATTTGGTTTGAATGTAGTTCGGATTGGAACTATAAGTACTGCTGACAAATGATGTACCTGTGTAAATAATACCTTGTATTTGTTGGGGGAGGGAGGCGAGGACGGGGGGGGGGTGGGGGACATACTCTTTGAGCACTTTCAGGGCACTAGAGAAACAGCTAACAGATGCTAGAATAGGACACCAACAAGTTTTATTTTTTATTTCCAGGGGCTCTCTATGAAGGTATGGTCGGAGGCGGACCGCCCAGGACTGCTGACTGCTGTGGTTGCTAGCTTTGGTCCTCCTGCTTGCTGTCCTGCTGCTGCTCCGGCGATGGAGCTCTCGGCTTCGGAGATGCGAGATCCCACTGTATGCTAACCTGGTTCCATGAGATGATTAAATAGGAAGTGGAGGGGGGATGGAGGTGCCGCTGGAGGTGGGTGAAGCGTGGAGGGTGAGTGAAGCTATGCCGTATGATTTTGATTGGCTGTGAAGAGAAGGAAGTCCTTTCACCGAAAAGTTCTGCTGAAATAAAGAACAAAACATCATGTTAAAACACAGAGCACTGGAGGGAGAGGACCAGATAGCTGAGGAGGGAACAGACCTGACGGAGGAACGACACTCGAGGAGGAACAGAAGAATAAGTATATGTGGAGCATATAACACACGAATAAAACTGTAGAAGCATGGCTAACCCTTAAACCTTTTGGAAGTGAGATGTCATCCGTGCCAAATGTCTTTAATGATGAACAAGGAGAGAACATTGCGGTCAAGAGCACGGAGTAAGTCTCTAAAAACACGCCGCGACGCAAACGGTTGGCGCAAAACGGCTGTTGGAAGGACGCAGCGACGCGTGGATAGTGTTGAACGGGTCCTAGACGGCGCGCGTCCCCCATGGTGTATGTCAATGTAACCCGACGCTTTGGACGGCTGCAAGGGCGTTTGGTGGCTGAAAGGGCCACCTTAGAAATCAACAATAGGCACCAGCAAAGGTGTAGAGATTGCTATGTGGCATAAAGGGGAAGAAATATCTATATTAAAGAATTAACATAGTAATAATAATGTAATGAAAGTTATAGAAAAGGGCGTGAGCAGCCCATTTGATAATCTGGTAAAATATATTACTGTGGTTTAAGGAAAGGCTGGAGATGAACATGAAGACGTTGTGTTCCACAGGCTCGTATTGACAGGGAACATGGGGGAGCTGGAACATGAACTATTGTTGTGTTTTGATATAGTTGTTCATGGTACTGATGTATATGTCGATGGAGGCTGGAATAAAAAATAGTAAATAAATAAATAAATAAGTAAATGAATAAAAAGAGGAGATTGAAGTTTTCGGCCCAACACGATGAGCGCAGGTTGCTCTGAGATCGGGTGCAGGTAGAAAGCCTGGTGGATCGGGCTGTACCCGGGAAGAGGTTGCATTACCTGAGTCTGTTCAAGCTTGATATTGACTGTTGTAGGGGGGGGAGGGGGCGTCGGGGGAGGGCGGAGGAAGAGGAACGAGGCAGGGGGGGGGGGGAGGGGGGGGGACGGAGGGGGGAGGCGGAGGGGAGGTAGCGGGCAGGGGGGAGGAAGGAGGGAAGCTAAAAAAGCAATAAAAAGAGACATCTGGGTAGACAAACTACGGACATATACGAGACCGTTGCTGCAGAGCAGCCTGGCGCTGGGCTCGGCTCCCGGCGTGCCTGAGTGGATCTGCGGAGCGGGGGTGGCGGAGGGGGGCAGAGGGTGCAGAATGGGAGGTGAGGGGCGGGAGGAGGGAGGAGTTGTGGGGGGGGCGAGGGGGTAAACGTTAAAGACCAGAGTCCGAGTCTGATATATAGCAGGTCGCAACATTAGCTGTTTTAGAAATCAGGTGTTTGTTAGCGTTAGTGAAGAATATGAACAGTGTCCTGGAGATCGGCGCGTTCTTTAAATTGCGTGACAGGAAGATCATGTTTTATGTGCGAATGGGTAGAGACAGCGCGAAACACACACGAACAACAGAATGCAAAGTGTATTAGTACAGAGCGGAGGCATGGGAGACCTCCAATCAGGCAGCTTCCACCGGGATGCCATGTGTTGAAGGCTTGGGCGCCTTCAGATAGACAAGACGACCAGGGAAAAAAGTAAGGCATTCTGCGACCTTGATAGAATTAGAGGTTTAACTTGAACAAATAGAGCTGAAGAGTGTTATGAAGATCTACATTAGAAACATTGTAGCTGTTAGGTTAAGCATGTAGCAATCGATGGGGACTGTTATTGTGTGAGCATTGTTTTAATAGCTGAGCGTTAGGGTTGAGCATTAGCAAACATGTGCATTCTCTGTTGTTAGCATTAGAACTTAGCTGTTGTTAGCAGATTAGCATCATTAGCTCCCTCAGCCACACACCACCAGGCGTGCTTCAGACTGCGACATGACTCGACTCCCGTGTGTTGTCCTCTGACTGTTAAGCAGCGGTGGGACAAGAGTCCGTTTGTTTGAGCAAGGTCACAAGTCAGGGGTGTGTCATGCAGCAGGTTCATTGGCCCTCGAAGTTCCCGGAGGTTCAGAAAGGTCAGAGAGTCGAGGACAAGGCAAGGTCCCGATGGAGGCTTCCCGGAGTGAGTCGAGGCCCAAGTCAAGAGGCCAACGCAGAATAGTCAAGTTCAGCTCCCAAGTTCCCTACAGTATGACTTTCAGAGTCCTATCTGCGAGTACTTTTTGATCCGCGATTTGTTCGTGTGGGTCGTCCGACGTACTTTTGTAGGCAAAAAGAAAATAATGTTAGGAGATGCATTTTGCTGGGATGCTTGTCTGTCAGTTGGTTGCTCGGTCTGACCCATGGAAACTAACCGTTTGTTCCCTGTCGTTGGACCCAGCTGGGGAATCAAAAACTATCTACGCTGGAATCTGAATATGGTATGTTTGTGCCAGAGCGGCTCAGATGTCACAAATGCACAAGACCACACATAAGAAAGGTAGCGCGAAGTCCTTGGTCAACCATACTTTTTCTATTGGGGTTTTTAATGGGAAGTAGCAAGTGCAGCAGTAGGTGCAGCATATATGAATATGAGGTATTGGAGCTAGGACCTGTATCTATATATCAGGCTTGAATGTCCTATAGATGTGTTTATGTTCCAAAAAGCACGTGAAGGGACCAATGGAGGGGAAGGGCCCAGGCGACCTGTATGATACTTGGGTCCACAGCCATTAGTAATATCTCATTAATTACCAATTCTCCATTACATAATAAATGTCTGTCATAATAATTAATAATCAGTAAAGCACTGATTCTCATATCAATGCACCATAAACAATAGTGCAAAATATTAATCTCGCTTAGTGACATAATCAAAAACAACTATCTAATGTCTGCACACATCTAGCAGGAGGAGCGCACAGCAAAAAACATAGCTCTATTAATTAGAGGGCCTCGGCGCCCACACAGAAGACGTTATTAAGAAAGTAGCCAAGCAGAAGCGAGCGCAAGGGCTAGGCGCTAGTTTGGATCACCAGTTCCTCTTTAAAACCCGAGCGCACACGCAAGGTGTGACAAACTCGGGTCGAATTGCACGTTGTGAAGATGAGTGGCCGCGCTGCGCCTGTAGTCGAAGAGCGTATCAATTACGGGGAGTTGTGTAAGAACAAAATATGAGCGTTAGGTTGACAGGATAAATACGCTGCAGCTCGCCTCAGTTTACAGCTGCCTCTAGGACAAGCACACCCACCGGGTGGTGAATGCAAGGTCGCTTGTTGTCGGGAAGTGTTGCTGCTGCGAACCGCGGGGGGACCTCCGTTCGGAACCCTATCGACGGGCGGAGCGACCTACGAACTACGCGCGAGGGGGGGACTTTGGGGTTGTCTTACCAGACGACGGCCTAGAAAAGTAGGAGAAGAGAGCGGTGAGAGAGAGGAGGAAAGCGTGAAAAATGGCCGAGGGGTCTTACGCAAGGGAGTCTGTTGCACAGTCAATTGGCCGCCAAGTCCAAGGGGAAATTACAGATGTCATTGATGTATAAAGTCGCAGAGGGTGTCGAGTTGCAGAGTCTTGTTTTACATTTTGGTCGAAGTCGAGTCTAAAGTCATCAAAATCATGACTCGAGGTCTGACTCGGGTCCCCAGTCACTGACTCTCGAGTCCACACCTCTGCTGTTTGGTCGCTAGCTCGGTGTGTCTTTATATTAAACAACGAAGAGTGTTTTAGGTACATTGTGACACATTTAAGCCGCGGGTGTGATGAGTTAGACGAGAATGAAGCTACATTAAGATGAGCCATTACAGCCAGACCCGCCAGGCGAGTGGGACGTTGTCCTTTATTGCATAGTCTTACATAAATTTATGAGAGGGATCTCAAACAAGAAGAGATTAGGTCTTTCATCAGCCGGCAAGAGACATTGAACTCAACGACCAAGAATGACGAAGAATTTGGATGTTGCCTGACCTCAACAACTTTGGTGAGTAATAGAAAACCAAATATGAAAGTCATGGTTGAACTATTTCAGGGTAAATAGAGTACTGAAAAGTGTTTGATTTCTCACAGAGAAACGTAGATGGTCTTTGGTCCTCTGCTCTCTCTCTCTGGTCTCTGTTTCTCGGGTCTCTGCTCGTCTCTGTGTCTGGCGGGATGCTTCGCGTCTCTCTCTCTCTAGGTCTCTTTCACTGGTCTCTCGCTTGGTCTCTCTCTTTCTTGGTCTCTCTCTCTCGTGGTTCTTCCTCTGGTCTCTCGTGGTTTTCTGAGTCGTGCTACTCCCGCAGTTGACTTCAGAAGACTTAATTTTAACGTTTATAGTTAGTTTTGAGACATTCCTTATTTTTCCCTTGTTTTATATGGTAGAAACAGTGTTATGGAGATGAGGGTCAGTATGGGTCAGACCTGGACAACAGTCTGCACAATATCAGGGAAATGCAGTTGGACACTAAACACTGGCGTTCTTGTTGGTGGCGGTGAAGACTGGGTCTTATTGGGTGATGTGTGTTGTGCATCTGGTAGATGGTTGTCTATTGTGCGAAGGGAGGTCGACGTTTGGTTCCCAGGACAGGAGTGATGTGGTCCCAGGACAGGAGTGAGGTGGTCCCAGGACAGGATGTGAGGTGGTCCCAGGACAGGAGTGATGTGGTCCCAGGACAGGAGTGATGTGGTCCCAGGACAGGAGTGATGTGGTCCCAGGACAGGAGTGATGTGGTCCCAGGACAGGAGTGATGTGGTCCCAGGACAGGAGTGATGTGGTCCCAGGACAGGAGTGATGTGGTCCCAGGACAGGAGTGATGTGGTCCCAGGACAGGAGTGATGTGGTCCCAGGACAGGAGTGAGGTGGTCCCAGGACAGGAGTGATGTGGTCCCTGTGAGTGGCTGAGTTGGGCCGGGTCAATGCCGGCTCAGAGAGAGTTACAATAATGAAGCCTGGAAGTGATAAAAGCATGAATGGCCTTCACTTGGAATATGAGATTTTACTTCTGCTAAGATTGACTCCTGGATCAATGTTACGGTCTCTTGCAATTTAATGATGACAATACATTTAAATAATAATAAAAATAATGCATCAGTTACAAACAGTACTTTTATTGACTCTCAAAGTCTCTTCACATCATTATTCATTCACCTCATACACAGTGGTGATAAACTACTACTGTAGCCACAGCTGCCCTGGGGCACACTGACAGAAGCGAGGCAACCAGTCTTGCTTTACAGATCCAGCTCTGTCCCACTGTCTCCTGCAGGTGTCCTCGTCCCCTCTGTGAGTTCTGGTCTGAAGCAGGAAAACCCAGAGAGTCCACAGATCAGCGAGGAGCCAGAGGAACATGACATCAAACTGGAGGAAGATCTGCTGCAAATGTGAGTCTGTGTCTGTGCTGAAACTGCAGCATGTTTAAAACAATGAGCTGAGCCCAGATCTGTTGTGTGGATGCAGAACTGTGGGAGTGAAGGCAGAAGAACACAGTCTGCTCCAGGAAATCCCACAAAGTCCACAGACTAAAGAGGAGCCAGAGGAAGTGAGGATCAAACACGAGGAGGAGCCGCTGTGAGTTTCTGTCATCATTCTACATATTTACTGATGATTGTCATCAGGTTCACATCAGTGACCAGTTTGTGTTTGTTTCAGTCCTGTGTGTGTGAAGACAGAAGAGTGGTCACTGCCTCAAAGACAAAGTGAGCACAGAGAGGAGACACAGGGAGAAGACATCAGCCCAGAGTCTGAGGGACACACAGAGCACTCCTCTGACCACGACCAGGATGAAGACCTTCATCTTCAGCCTGTGTCCTCAGAGACAGATGATGATGGAGACGACCACCACAGAGTCCAGAGCAGAGCCACAGATGGGCCTCACACAGGAGACAAACCCTTCAGCTGCTCCGTCTGCGACAAAGTATTGTCAACAAAGAGATATTACGCGGAACACATGAGGACACACACAGGAGAGAAACCTTTCTGCTGTTCAGTTTGTGACAAAGTATTTTCTCAAAGTTGTACTCTGAAAATACATATGAGGACGCACACAGGCGACAAACCTTACAGCTGTTCTACATGTAACAAATCATTTACCCAAAGGGGTACTCTAAAAATACATATGAGAACTCACACAGGAGACAAACCTTACAGCTGTCCTACATGTAGCAAAGGCTTTTCCAATACGAGTGCTCTGAAAGTACACATTAGGACACACACAGGGGAAAAGCCGCACACTTGTACAATTTGTGAAAAATCCTTTTCTGATAAATATATACTGAGAATACACTCTAGGACACACACAGGCGAAAAACCATTCAGCTGTTCAGTCTGTAATAATGTATTTTCTCTGAGGAGTACTCTGACTGAACACATGCGGACTCACACAGGGGACAAGCCTTACAGCTGCTCATTCTGTAACAAAGCATTTTCCAAAAGGTGTTCTCTTGCTGAACACCTGAGGAGACACAGAGGAGACAAGCCTTACAGCTGCTCAGTCTGTGGTAAAGCATTTCCCCAAAGAGGCGCCCTCACTGTACACATGAGGACACACACAGGGGACAAACCTTACAGCTGTCCCATATGCAGTAAAGCATTCTCCCATAGGTACACAGTAGGTGTTCATCTGAGGACACACACAGGAGACAAACCTTTCATCTGTTCAGTCTGCAGCAGCACATTCTCCCAAAGAAGTACTCTCACCGAACACATGAAGACACACATAGGACACAAACCCTACACCTGTTCCACATGTGACAAATCCTTTTCAAAAAAGAGTTATCTCACTGACCACATGAGGACACACACAGGAGAGAAACCTTACAGCTGTTCCGTGTGTAATAGAGCATTTTCCCAACGCACACAGCACGCAGTACACATGAGGAAACACACAGGAAACAAACCTTACAGCTGCTCTATTTGTAATAAAGCATTTTTTGAACGCATGCAACTGACAGTACATCTGAGGACACACACAGGAGACAGACCCTTCAGCTGCTCAGTCTGTGACAAAGCCTTCGCCCAAAAGGGTGCTCTCACTGAACACATGATGATCCACACGGGAGACAAGCCTCACGCCTGCCCTACATGTAACAAAACCTATTCAACCAGGTATAAACTGAATATACACATGAGATCTCACACAGGAGACAATCCCTTCAGCTGCTCAGTCTGTGACAAATCATTTCCAACAAGGTATAAACTCACTGAACACTCAAGGACGCACACTAAAGACAAACCCTACAGCTGTTCAACTTGCAACGAATTATTTTCCTCAAGGTATAAACTTAACGAACACATGGTGACTCACACAGGACACAAACCTTACAGCTGTTCTACTTGTAACAAATCATTTTCAACACAATATAAACTGACTGTACATACGAGGACCCACTCCAGCGACCGACCCTTCAGCTGTTCACTCTGCGACAAAGCGTTTTCCACCAAGTACAAGCTCTCTGAACACACACGGACACACACGGGGGACAAACCTCACTGCTGTCCTTTCTGTGACAAAGCATTCTCAACAAGAGGTCCTCTGAATGTACACGTGAGAACACACACCGGAGAGAAACCCTTCAGCTGCTCCTTCTGTGACAAAGCCTTTCCCCACAGAGGTCGTCTTAATGTACACATGAGGACACACACAGGTGAAAAGCCCTTCAGCTGTTCAGTCTGTGACAAGGCCTTTCCCGTCAGGAGTCGTCTCAATGTCCACATGAAGACACACGGGGAAACAGCGTCAGTCGTCTAGCGATATAACACAAGTCAAATTATAATTATTCTTACGCCCGCTCAGTTTTAGAATTGACTCTTGTCCGTAGCCGTAAACCACTTCTTCCTCAGAGTGATTGACAAGAAGAACTTCTGATCACGTTCGACCTCTTCACCACTGCCTCTGGTCCTTGCTTCAATCAGTAAATTGGGGTCACCGATTTATATTTGAGAACAAAGTAATGCCATATTTGTAGAGTTAGAGATCAGAGTCTGATCTGTTGTTGGTGAATTGACAACTTTGTAAAGTCTTCTGAGACTACTGTGTTGGGACATCGGGCAAGACACACATACATTAAATTGAAATCCCTAAAGTTTCCTTCCGCTGGAAACATGCCGTGTTCTTACTCGTATAAAGTAATCATTTTCAGAAATTCTATGAAGATGTTTTATGCATGACTTATTTTTACTCTTGTATAAACCTTGATCCGAAGCAAATTCCTCGTTTGTGACTTCCTGTTGCTAACAATGATAATCAAAAAAATAATGATTCTGAAATGGAAAATATGTCAGGATTTAGTTCAGCCTCAAAAACAAGGTTGTATCAAACTGTCATTCCAACAGCAGCAGCACAGACTCCGGTCTCTGGGTTCAGACTCCGGTCTCTGGGTTCAGACTCCGGTCTTCGGGTTCAGACTCCGGTCTCCGGGTTCAGACTCCGGTCTCCGGGCTCAGACTCCGCCGGTCTCTGGGCTCAGACTCCGGTCTCTGGGCTCAGACTCCGGTCTCTGGGCTCAGACTCCGGTCTCTGGGTTCAGACTCCGGCCTCCGGGTTCAGACTCCGGGTTCAGACTCTGGTCTCCAGGTTCAGTCTGGACTCTGTGCTCCTGCTGAAGGAATAAAAAACTACTTATGTTTTATTTTACATATTTCCATTTTTAATGTTTTTTGTCACAGAAATAAAATGAATCACAAAGATCTCTGATAACAGTTTGTGTATTGTAGCCACAGCTGCCCTGGGGCACCCTGACAGAAGAGAGGCAACCTTTGTCCCTTCCACCACCAACAACCATTCACACACACACACACACACACACAGACTCATTCTAATGTGGGGGAAGTGTCTTGCCTAAGGACATAACCACAGCAGTGAGGCACAGCCGGCACAGCAGCTCTCAGAGGTCTCCCATCACAGTACTAACCATGCCCTGTCCTGCTTAGCTTCAGAGGTCTGACAGGGTCTGGTTTGAAGGTGAATGTAGTTATTTTTGGTTGCTTGGCAACCCTCTTTCTATTACAGTTAACGGCTGTTTTATCCTTTTAAAAATGACTTCATTTTAAACTAGTGGTAAATTTAAGCGTTTTTTGGGGGATTTTTTCAGAATTTTATTTTCAATGGTAGAAGTCAAAATGACTGCTCTGGGAGTTCTAGTTGTTTCAGAATTCTGTTGGTCCTACTGTTAAAATCTTTTGGCATGAAACAAATTTCAATTTTATCCAGGGCCGTAGAATAATCCCATGATTTAATCATGATTTAATCATGATTTAATCATGATTTATTCATGATTTATTCACAGGACCAAAATAAACGCTTGAAACGTACATTTTACCTTTTTACACATTGTTCTTGTTTTCATTTATCATTATATATTTATTTTTATTATTTTTATTTTATTTTTTTTTTTATTTATTTTTTATTTTATTTTATTTATTTTGCATTTATTTTCTGCCCTAGAGTGCGTGTTTGTGTTGCTTAAAAAATAATATATATATTTTTTAATGTGGAAAAACCGACATCTGTACCCGGAAATGCTGCACTATCTGAAGTCTGTTAAACAATCTGTAACAAACACATCTTACGGACCGTGCAGCAGACATGGCGGCTCGGCTCCCGGCGTCTGAGCTGGACTGCGGAGCGGGGTAACGTTAAAGACCAGAGTCAGAGTCTGATGTTAGCATTGGCAACATTAGCTGTTGTTAGCATTAGCAACATTAGCTGTTATTAGCATTAGCAACATTAGCTGTTGTTAGCATTAGCAACATTAGCTGTTATTAGCATTAGCAACATTAGCTCCACAGCTGCACACACTGCAGCTCACTGCCCGTGTTGCCTCGGACTGTCTGTTGTGTCTATCGAACAGAAGAAAAATGAGTTTTATTTTCTGACTTAGCATCTACAGCTGCTAAAGCTAATGCTGCTTCCTGTTGTCAGACATTTTTAAGACATTTCTTGTTCATTGACAGTTAAAGTTTCCAAAAAGTAACTTTTATATAAGGAAAAAATACACTGCCAGAAATATGTCTATATGATCCCCATCAGTGTATTACACAAAGACAATAGTCTAGAGAGAGAGACCAGAGAGAGAGACCAGAGAGAGAGACCAGAGAGAGACCAGAGAGAGAGACCAGAGAGAGAGACCAGAGAGAGAGACCAGAGAGAGGGACCAGAGAGAGGGACCAGAGAGAGGGACCAGAGAGAGAGACCAGAGAGAGAGACCAGAGAGAGGGACCAGAGAGAGACCAGAGAGAGAGACCAGAGAGAGAGACCAGAGACAGAGAGACCAGAGAGAGAGACCAGAGAGAGGGACCAGAGAGAGGGACCAGAGAGAGGGACCAGAGAGAGACCAGAGAGAGAGAGACCAGAGAGAGAGACCAGAGAGAGAGAGACCAGAGAGAGAGACCAGAGAGAGAGACCAGAGAGGGAGACCAGAGAGGGAGACCAGAGAGAGAGACCAGAGAGAGAGACCAGAGAGAGAGACCAGAGAGACCAGAGAGAGGGACCAGAGAGAGGGACCAGCGAGAGGGACCAGAGAGAGAGACCAGAGAGAGGGACCAGAGAGAGACCAGAGAGAGAGACCAGAGAGAGGGACCAGAGAGAGAGACCAGAGAGAGAGAGACCAGAGAGAGACCAGAGGGAGAGACCAGAGAGAGAGACCAGAGAGAGAGACCAGAGAGAGAGACCAGAGAGAGAGACCAGAGAGAGAGACCAGAGAGAGAGACCAGAGAGAGAGACCAGAGAGAGAGACCAGAGCGGGAGACCAGAGCGGGAGACCAGAGCGGGAGACCAGAGCGGGAGACCAGAGCGGGAGACCAGAGAGGGAGACCAGAAAGAGAGACCAGAGAGAGAGACCAGACAGGGAGACCAGACAGGGAGACCAGAGAAAGAAACCAGAGAAAGACCAGAGAGAGACCAGAGAGGGAGACCAGAGAGGGAGACCAGAGAGGGAGACCAGAGAGGGAGACCAGAGAGGGAGACCAGAGAGAGAGACCAGAGAGAGAGACCAGGGAGAGACCAGAGAGAGACCAGAGAGAGAGGGAGAGAACAGAGACCAGAGAGAGACCAGAGAGAGACCAGAGAGAGAGACCAGAGAGAAAGATCAGAGAGAGAGACACCAGAGAGACACCAGAGAGAGAGGGAGAGAACAGAGAGAGAGACCAGAGAGAGAGACCAGAGGGAGAGACCAGAGAGAGACCAGAGAGAGAGGGAGAGAACAGAGACCAGAGAGAGACCAGAGAGAGACCAGAGAGAGAGACCAGAGAGAGAGATCAGAGAGAGAGACACCAGAGAGACACCAGAGAGACACCAGAGAGACACCAGAGAGAGACCAGAGACCAGAGAGAGAGACCAGAGGGAGAGACCAGAGAGAGACCAGAGAGAGACCAGAGAGAGACCAGAGAGAGACCAGCGAGAGACCAGCGAGAGACCAGCGAGAGACCAGAGAGAGACCAGAGAGAGACCAGAGAGAGACCAGAGGGAGAGAACAGAGACCATAGAGAGAGACCATAGAGAGAGACCATAGAGAGAGACCATAGAGAGACCAGAGAGAGACCAGAGAGAGAGGGAGAGAACAGAGAGAGAGACCAGAGAGAGACCAGAGAGAGACCAAAGAGAGACCAGAGAGAGACCAGAGGGAGAGAACAGAGCCCATAGAGAGAGCCCATAGAGAGACCAGAGAGAGAGACCAGAGAGAGAGACCAGAGAGAGAGGGAGAGACCAGATAGAGACCAGAGAGAGAGGGAGAGAACAGAGACCAGAGAGAGACCAGAGAGAGACCAGAGAGAGACCAGAGAGAGACCAGAGAGAGACCAGTGAGAGACCAGTGAGAGACCAGAGAGAGACCAGAGAGAGACCAGAGAGAGACCAGAGAGAGACCAGAGAGAGACCAGAGAGAGACCAGAGAGAGACCAGAGAGAGACCAGGGAGAGACCAGGGAGAGAACAGAGACCAGAGAACCTGAATAGTTGAAAACTCTGATTTATCTAAATGTTTAGTGTAACATGAGTTTGTAACAATTCTTTCATAATGTTTTTTTAAGCTGTTTTCAGCCACTTTTGACTTTCCCCAGTTTTTTACTCGTATATTTACTCTTTTGCAGCAGCACAAAGTGGTGTTCTAGAAACACAGAGACACAGTTTCCTTCACGTGAGTAACATAAATGTCATTTCACTTCTGTCAGAATTTACACATTTGAATTTACGGCTTGAGGCTACAGTGAACTACAGACTATAATGTTGTTAGGTCTGAAGCAGGAAAACCCAGAGAGTCCACAGATCATCAAACTGGAGGAAGATCTGCTGCAAATGTGAGTCTTTCTCACTCTCACGTTTAAGTGAGTCTATCTCACTCTCACGTTTAAGTTACACAAGTGTCAACTCAAAGTGATAAACAAAACCAGAAATAAACAATACAATAATAAATAACCACAGTACGTAAAGATACAATCCTGTTGTTGCAGCAAAACAGAACAGTTTTTAACCTGGATTTGAACATTGTCAGAGAAGAAGCCTGTCTCACATTTTCAGGAAGATTGTTCCAGATTTCAGCTGCATAAATCTGAAACGCAGCCTCCTCATGTTTAGTCCAGTCCCTGTGCTCCTCAGAGTCCCAGCAGGAGGCCAGTCCCTGTGCTCCTCAGAGTCCCAGCAGGAGGCCAGTCCCTGTGCTCCTCAGAGTCCCAGCAGGAGTCCAGTACCTGTGCTCCTCAGAGTCCCAGCAGGAGTTCAGTCCCTGTGCCCCTCAGAGTCCCAGCAGGAGGCCAGTCCCTGTGCTCCTCAGACTAATATTGCATTGGTTTTATACTGCACTTTTTTGGACCCTGCTTCCTTCAGAGGTCTGACAGATCTGACTTTCACCTGCAGGTGGCGCCACCAACATACCTCAGAGTCCCAGCGGGAGGCCTGTACCGAGGCCATGTGTCACTGATAAAATGTCTTTCTGTTGTCTCTCAAACATCAGTGACTTTATGTTTACATGATTTTACTCTAGCCTTATTTAGGGTTATAACTGTGATTAGTCCACACAGCTCCTCCACTGTCTCTTATCTTTTTAAGAGAGACTTTGGCATTTAGAAGCCCTAACCCTCAGGTTTAAGATGGGGTTAGAGAGAATGCAAAACTACAGTGAAGCCTGGGAGTGGCAGCATCATGCTGTGGAGATAAACAGGACCTGGAGCCTGAAGCTTGTTTTAAATAAAGTATATGAAGTATATTATATTATATTTATACGAGAAAATAAAAGGGGGGGAGGCATTGCTGCATTATTTAGAGATCGTATTATCTCTCATAGAATTCTCCTTGGAAATTTTCTATCATTTGAGTATATTTCTTTTAAAATAGAACAAAAACAATCTCCTTCTATTCTTATCATTGTCCTGTACAAGCCACCGCAGTCTTGTCACAATTTCTTTGATAATTTCACTGAGTTGCTTTCAGTTGTTTGCACCGATTTTGATAGTTTAGTGATTACAGGTGATTTTAATATTCATGTGGATAATGGCAATGACAAAAATGCAAAAGAGCTGAGTTCTGTACTTGAAACATTTGGTCTCACTCAGCACGTGAGTGGCCCCACCCACAGCAAAGGGCACACTCTAGACCTGCTGGTTACAAAGGGGGTTAATATTTTAAATGTAAATGTGGTTGACGTGGCTCTGTCAGATCACTTCTGTGTATTTTTTGACATGTGTTTTGATAGTAAACAACCATATATATCTGAATTTGCAATTGTCAGACACAGACACATAAATGAAAACACAACCGAACTATTCATGGGAATGATAAACTTTGAGAACACATTGTGTTCTACTGTTGACGAATTGTTTAACTCTGTCACCGCCAATGTTATAAATGTTCTGGACATCATCGCTCCTGTGAAGGTTAAAATGATTACAAATAAGCTAAAGGCCCCCTGGACTAAAATGGACTCAGTCATGGTACAGAAGAGAGAGTGCCGTAGGGCCGAGCGGAAGTGGCGAAAATCCAATCTCCAGGTTGATCATGATATCTTCAAAAATGAGTTGTGCAAGTTTAACAGGGTGCTACGTAGAACAAGAGAAATTTATTTTTCTAAAACCATTGATGGCTGCAATAATAATCTACGACTTATGTTTTCAACAGTTAACGGATTAACAAACCCCCCTGTTCAGCTGCCATTTGAATTTGCTTCAGAATCTAAATGTAATGAGTTTGCACAATTTTTCAATGACAAGGTTCAGAGCATCAAAAACGCCATCACCTCCAAGGCAGAAATAACATTACAACAGCCGGTGAGGCTGTTTGAGCTATCGCACTTTGCACCAACAGATAATGAAACTGTCCAAGATGTTGTCTCTAGCCTTAGTTCCTCCACATGTAGCCTGGATGTACTACCCACTAAATTTTTTAAGTCTGTTTTGAGCAGTCTTTTACCTTTGCTCACACAAATAGTGAACATGTCTCTCTCATCTGGAACATTTCCAATGGCCCTGAAAACGGCAGTCATCAGACCCCTCCTAAAAAAGAGGAGTCTAGATGCCACAGTTCTTAAGAATTATCGCCCCATTTCAAATCTGCCGTTTATGGGAAAAATTCTTGAAAAAGTTGCTTACCAACAACAACAACAAATTCTTAGTAACTAATAGTTCCTTTGATGCGCTCCAGTCCGGCTTTAGAGCCAATCACAGCACTGAGACTGCACTAGTGAAGGTTACAAATGACATCCGACTTAACACCGACACAGGAAAAGTCACAGTTTTAGTAATGTTGGATCTGAGTGCTGCGTTTGACACAGTCGACCACGAGATCCTCATGCAGAGACTAGAGCACTGGGTGGGTGTCACTGGGACTGCCCTAAGTTGGTTTAGGTCTTACCTAGAAGACAGGAAATACTTGGTTCAGATAGGAAACTGTGTCTCAGATCATATGGCTCTGACCTGCGGAGTGCCACAGGGATCAATTCTGGGGCCTCTTCTGTTCAATATTTACATGCTGCCGTTAGGTCAGTTAATACGCTCCAACAATGTATCCTACCACAATTACGCTGATGACACTCAAATTTATGTCTCACTTACTGCAGGAGAACATGGACCAGTGGAATCACTCCTTCACTGTACTCAACAGATTAGTGATTGGATGCAAAATAACTTCCTTCAGCTAAACGCAGACAAAACAGAATTGATTGTCTTTGGTCCTCAGAAACAAAGAGAGAGCGTTATTCGTCACCTCCAGTCTCTCTCCCTGGAACCTGTAGGCCAGGTCAGAAACCTAGGAGTTATAATGGACTCAGACTTAAATTTTAACAGTCATATCAAATCAGTAACATCAGCAGCATTTTACCATCTGAAAAACATTGCCAAAATTAGAAACATAGTGTCTAAATCAGATCTGGAGATTCTCATCCATGCATTTGTCTCCAGTAGGTTAGACTACTGCAATGGCCTGCTCACAGGTCTCTCCAAACAGGCTGTAAAACAACTGCAGTATGTCCAAAATGCTGCAGCTCGAGTCCTGACCAGGACCAGGAAATATGACCACATTAGTCCAGTTCTCAGGTCTCTGCACTGGCTTCCTGTGGCTCAGAGAATAGACTTCAAAGCAGCACTGCTTGTGTACAAGTCTCTCCATGGCCTCGCACCAGGGTACTTAAGCGACTTGTTAGTCCCATATGAACCGGCCCGGACTCTGAGGAGCACAGGAGGTAGCCTCTTACTGGTTCCAAGAGTCAGAACTAAACATGGGGAGGCAGCGTTTGAGATTTATGGAGCTAAAATCTGGAACAATCTTCCTGAAGATGTGAGGCTAGCATCTACTCTGGCAATTTTTAAATCAGGGCTAAAAACTGTTATTTTTAGCTGTGCATACGGCTGAAGGATTTTGTTGATACATACTCTTTTTTTTTAATGCATTGTGGTTATTTATTATTTTAATCCCGTGTGTGCTTTTAATATTTTAAGTTTTTTTTTTTTTTTTTTTTTACTTGTGATTTTATTCTGTTTTTAATGTATTTATTGATGTCTCTGATTTGTGTGATATTATGTGGGTTGTGAGGCGCTTTGAGTGGCCTTGTGTTGGAAAGGCGCCATACAAATAAAGTTGATTGAAGTTGATTGATTATATTGAATATTTCATGTTTGTAAAGCTCTGGTCTCTGTTTGATCAAATGAACATGACATTCTGTTTAAAACAATGAGCTGAGCCCAGATCTGTTGTGTGGATGCAGAACTGTGGGAGTGAAGGCAGAAGAAAACAGTCTGCTCCAGGAAATCCCACAAAGTCCACAGACTAAAGAGGAGCCAGAGGAAGTGAGGATCAAACACGAGGAGGAGCCGCTGTGAGTCTCTTCATCACAGTTAAACCTCAACCGTCAGACACAACATGAGAAAAAAATTTATATGAAAATGATGTAAAATAAGTATTTAGTCAACCTTTGTTTGGCGATGACAGAGGTCATCAAAAGATGCAGCGTAACATTTACTGAAGTATCTTTTAGGACTATATTGTTTACCACAGCGGGTTATAAGATACATGTTTGTTTTTACTTTTGTTGTTTTTTTATTATAGTTAAAGAAAATAATAATGTCACATGAAAACATGTTCTCAAGGACAGATAACTGAGACACAGGGCCTCATGAAGCGTGCGCACGGCCAAATCAGTGAACATGAGGCGTTTTCTGCATTTATCAATCTGGACGTGAGCGTACGATACGCAAAAAATATAAGCCAGGTCTGGAGGTGGAGTAAATCTATACGCTGATCTCAACCTTCGGCACAACACGCCAAAACATGCATGATGATCCTGGACTGTGAAAGGCTCTACAAATACACTTTACGCGACAGGGATGTGTGACCCAGCTATTGCTGTGGCAGGCTCTGCGCTGCGTAATTACGCAATTTCAGGAATTTGTATTCCTCATTCACATCTGGTAAAGCAATGTATGTTTTCATTAGATATGTGTAAGCCTCACACAGACACACACCCCATTAACGCATGGACCGATGGACTATGGTATTGCTCACTCCAAATGTCCAGAGTGCGCAGCGAGTGCCGTGAGAGGTCGCGCCACATATCTCCTCAAATGTGCTGTCATTCAGAGGTTTTGGCTCCAGAGTTTTTGTGTGAAATCTGGGCCGCAAACGCTCTCTCAAGTGTACAGCGCTTCAATGCGCACTTCTACTCCGAGCCAGGCTGCGTCCAAGACGCTGCAGACGCTTCATTCATGAGAGCCACCGTTGCACAATATGAATTCATTCATTCATTCAATCTATATTTATTCACTTCTACAATTCAAGAGAGATTTTTCTAATTGATCAAAACATTTTTGTAAATTTGTTCAAAACGCAGCTGAATATATAGCGTATATGTTTATTTTTACATAAACATGAACAAACAAACGTGCTTTTTGAGGCTTCCGAACAGTCTTTTTGGCCGGCTTCCTGCTGACCTGTCGCAAAGATGGGCGTGAAACACGCGACTGCTGCATAATTCTAGTCGTGACTTTCATAAATACGTTCTTATTCAGCCGCGGCATTTACGAACGCCTGCAGCTGCGTACGCACAGATCTGTGCGAACATCACACGTTCATAAATCCGACGTTGGATCTTGCATAAATGGAATATACACCCAAAATGTACACCTGTTTCTACGCAAGTTTTATAAAAGAGGGCCAGAGTGAGGAGCAGCTACAGTGACAGTTACAGACTCTTATCTTTACGTGACTTTTACTCAACTGTCTTTGATCATCATCAGGAACACATCATAAGTTGCTTTTTCTTTCAGTCCTCTCTGTTTGAAGACAGAAGAGTCGTCACCGGGAGAAGAAGAGATCAGCCAAGAGTCTGAGGGAGACACAGAGCACTCCTCCAACCACAACGATGAGGATGAAGACTTTCATCTTCAGCCTGTGTCCTCAGAGACAGATGATGATGGAGACGACCACCACAGAGTCCAGAGCAGAGCCACAGATGTGCCACGCAAAGGAGAGAAACCCTTCAGCTGCTCAGTCTGTAACAAAGCATTTTCAACAAAGAGATATTTCCTAGAACATATGAGAGCACACACGGACGGAAACCCTTTCGGCTGCTCAGTCTGTGACAGGGCATTTTCCAAAAGGAGTAATTTAAAAGTTCATATGAGAATACACACAGGGGAGCGGCCTTTCTCTTGTACAATCTGTGGAAAATCCTTTTCTGTAATGGGGGAACTTAAAACACACGCACGAACACACACAGGCGAAAAACCATTCAGCTGTTCAGTCTGTGACAAGGCCTTTTCCCATCGGGGTTCTCTTTCTGACCACATGAAGACTCACACAGGAGATAAACCTCACAGCTGCTCTATCTGTAATAAAGCATTTTCCAAAAAGAGTAGTCTCACCGAACACATGAGGACGCACACAGGAGACAAACCTTACAGCTGTTCCATCTGTAGTAAAGCATTTTCACATCGCACACAGCTTGCTGTACATCTGAGGACACACACAGGCGATAAACCTTACAGCTGTTCAATCTGCAATAAAGCATTTTACGAACGCATGCAACTGACAGTACATCTGAGGACACATACAGGAGACAGACCTTTCAGCTGCTCGGTCTGTGACAAAGCCTTCGCCCAAAAGGGTGCTCTCACTGAACACATGATGACTCACACTGGGGACAAACCTCACGCCTGCTCTATTTGTAACAAAACATTTTCAACCAGATATAAACTAAGTATACATGTGAGATCACACACAGGAGACAACCCCTTCAGCTGCTCAGTCTGCAACAAAGCATTTTCAACAAAGTATAAACTCACTGAACACTCACGGACACACACAGGGGACAAACCTTACAGCTGTCCTTTCTGTGACAAAGCATTTCCTCATAGGGGTCCTCTGAACGTGCACGTCAGAGTCCACACAGGAGAGAAACCTTTCAGCTGTTCTTTCTGTAACAAAGCCTTTCCACATCGAGGCCATCTTAACGCTCACATGAAGACACATACAGGTGAAAGACCCTTCAGCTGTTCAGTCTGTGACAAAGCCTTTACCCACAAGAGCCGTCTTAATGCACACATGAAAACACACAGGGAGAAAGCTGACGCACAATCTGAGACACAAGAGAAAACACACACAATCATAAATGCTTTAGTTCAGTCTGTAACAAACCAATAGTATTCTAACTGCACACATACACACACCCTTACACACACACACCCTTACATACACACACACACACACACCCTTACACACACACACACACACACACACCCTTACATATACACTCACACCCTTACATATGCACCCACACACAGAGAAGACGGATACAGGACACACACACACCACACACACACTTACACACACCCTTACACACACACACCCTTACATATACACTCACACCCTTACATATGCACCCACACACAGAGAAGACGGATACAGGACACACACACACCACACACACTTACACACACCCTTACACACACACACACACACTCACACACAGAGAAGACGGACACAGAACATACATACAGGGTATAGGAGAAACACAAACACACACACACACAGCTGTGACTTGGCCACTACATGTGAGGAGCGAACGTTGGAATCAGCAGAAGTTTGTGCGTTTGACTCGTGTGTGCGTTTGTGTGTGTTTGTTTGTTTGTGTTTATGTTTAGAGATAATTTTCTCTGAAGCTTCTGAGTAAAACACAGACGTCTTTGAGCTGTAACATCTGCTTTTGTTTTGTTGTTGTCACAGAAAAAGAGAGATATTTACATGTAATAAAGTAACTGTTTACAGAGGTATAATAATAACACAAGAATACGGACAGGAGCTTTAATATATTTACTTCTGAGTCACTTTCACAGGATTTTACTGAAGAAACCGCAGACTTTTAGTTTAGTTTCTTTCTTTTAATGTTTGTTGGCTTTTTGCATCATGTTAATCCTGTACTGATACAAAACAAATTTTATAACTACATTTAACATCAAATACTGCCCCTTACTACCACCCCCATCCTCAACGATATTTTAGCTGCATCCAGGATTCCAGATTTCAGAGAATGTGTTGATATTTTCTTTTAGCAGATAAGTTAATATTTTCAATGGGAAAAGGTTTAAGATTTTTAAACCGATCAGAGATTCAGGGTCCAGCGTCATAGTTCATTATTGTTGTCAAAAATACATTCAGTGGAATTCTTTTGTATTCGGGACACGACAAAAACCATCAGTTAGTTCTTCCAGTTCACAGAAAAACCATGAAACCTGCAGTATCCGTTTCCTTTGAGTGTTTTTCCCCAACATAGTTACGTTCAGAAAACATCGTCCAAAGCCCGACCTTTAGCCAAACTAACTCGTTCTAACCTTAACCATAACCAGGTGTTTAACCATTATTCAAAACTCCCTTGAGGTTTTTACTTGGGGACATTTACTTCCTGGTTCCCTCCGCTCTGTCCTCGTCACAAAACATATTTATTTCCCTTTTTGGGTAAAAATACAAGCATTTTTTCTGTGTGGAACTGTTAATACGCAGTTCTACCGTGGCGTCCCACAGGGCTCTAGTTTAGGCCCCGTCTGCTTCTTTAATCACACATGACTGATGGACTAATTTGCCTTTTAAACTTACTTTTGTGTCCGCTGTAGCTTCACATCTAATGACTTCAACGTCACGTTCAGATCAAAAAGGCAAATAAACTCTTACCTAAGCCTTCTGCAGCTCAGAATATAGAGAAAAGTCTAATCTTCTGTCCGGAGACTTTGACCACGTTATTCACCTTCTTCTTGTGCCGTAGTTTGGACCAAAGCTCGATAAAGTGCCTTCAGCTGGTCCAAGATGTCGCTGCTTGTTAGTGACCGGGAGAGAGCACATCACCCCGGTGCTTCTTCGGCCTCTGTCCCATTTCAGATTGATATTAAGATTTTGATAAGGTTTAAATGACATTTCCTTTATGTCTGTGTCAAATCAGTCAGATGTTGTTTCTGAATGTTCTCATGTGTCGAGGTTGTTGCGGTCCCTAAACCGTGGACGAGTTTTAAAACTGCTCATAAATCATTCTGCCTTAGCTTTAACACTAACCCATGTTTTTATGTGTGTGTCGAGCATGTGAAGCAGCTGGTGTTGTAAATGTGCGATACAAATAAACATGTCACTGATCACAACAGAAAGGTCGGACTTTACTGAAGCTTTACTTATTTACTTGTTAAAAGTGAGAAAAGGAAAAAAAAGATATTACTTATAATTAATTGTAACTTTGGAACTTTTTGGGGGGATTTCTCACAATACAATACAATACAATTAGTGCTGTCCAAAATATCGCGTTATTAACGCGTTAACGCTAATCAATATTAACGGCGTCATTTTTTTATTTATTTTTTTTTTTTTTTTACTTTTTATTGCAGACAAACACATATACAGAAAAAAAAATAGAAACAAAGAAAAGGACTAGTTCAGATACATTGTAGACAGAGATTACAAACAATATGTAGTTGGAGATACAGGGGGCCAAAGAAGAAACCCAGAAGGGCACATAGGAGGGGGGGGGGACATGAAGTGGGAGATGGGGGGGAGGGGTTAATAAAAAAGGCAATACAAGCAAACAGTATACAGTCATAGATATACCAAAAGTAAACAGAGAAACAGCATAGAGTATTTACATGAACAAATTTACAAAATATAAAAAAAATCAATTGCACACAGCACGCCTATTCACTTTTTAGTAGTATTAAAATGATAATTCAAGGGACATAAAGAATAGATACAAATGTGTGACTAATTTGCGATTAATCGCAAGTTAACTATGAAATTCATGCGATTAATCACGATTAAATATTTTAATCGTTGGACAGCACTAAATACAATACAATACAATAGAATGTATTGTTGTATAGCCCTAGGTCACAACAGAAGTAATCTCAGAGACTTAACAAAACCATTGAAATCACCAACACAGGTCAGAGAATCAACAGTTAAAACACATGAAGAATATAAAGCACACACAGAATAAATTGTCCATACATGTTGTAGAATGCTAAAGTGTCCTGATCATCACCAATCCTTTCTGTTGGACACTAACTGTCCAACGAGACCCTCCTGCATCGACAAGGAACAACTCTTAAAAAACCCAGTGGGAAAAAGTGAGAAACCTTGGGGAGAACTAGGGAAACCCACAGGGAGGGAGACCCATTTGAGAAAGGGATCCGCTCCTCCGGACGGACAGGCTAATGATCTAGGACCTAAGCTAGCTACAGGACGTGGACCAGTGGCCGCTGAACGTGGACAGGTCCGGTGCAGGACTGAAGCACTCCCAGGCGGGTCGGGCAGGGCAGTCCGCAGGTGTAGATGGAGGAGGCCAGGCTCAGAGATCCCGTCATCGTACCATGAAACAGACAATGGGACAACGGGTGAATAGCAATGAACAAACTACAGTCAAAATCCTAATAATGCTAAACAGGTAAAGTAGGAAGGAGGAGAGGATAGTGCTCAATTTACCATACTTCTCCACCAGGGGGCTCCCTATGCAGCTTGACTGACAGTCTGAGGAGTTTAGCCTTCCCTGAGTCTTACCTTCCTAGCCATATGTTAAACTAAAGAGGAGTGTTTTAAACCTAACCTTGAATAAAGAGAGCGTATCTGAAAGGAGGTGAGACAGCAGCAGCCACGGCTAGGCTAGTCTATGCTACAGCACCAAGATTCATGGACTGCACACCACGTGTGCAAACCGATCCAGGCAAACCTAATTATATATTATATATCATATACATCATATATACCATACATATTATATATATTATATATAATACATAACATAACATACAGCATAATATATAACATAATATACAACATAACACAATACACAACAGAATACTTATATTGTATAATATATAACATAATATATAACATAATACAGCATATATATATAATATATACACCATATATTATATATGACCTAATTATATGCTAAATTAAAGTAGAGTGCTTTAAGCCTGGCCTTGAATGTGGAGACCGTATCTGCTTCCTTAACATAAATGAAGCTGATTCCACAGTAAAGGAGCTTGGAACTAAATGCTCTGCCGCCAACAGTGATTTTTGAGACCTTAGGAACCACCAGACGTCTGGCGTTTTGTGAGCGCAACGCTCGACTTGGTTGATACGACACTAACGTGTCTTGGAGATAAGAAGGAGCCAAGCCATTTATGGCTTTATATGTTAAGAGAAGGATTTTAAACTTTATTCTGTACTACACAGGGAGCCAGTGGAGTGATTTTAACACCGGAGTTATGTGCTCCCTCCTTTTGGTACCTGTTAAGATCCTAGCTGCTGTATTCTGAACGAGCTGGAAGCTCTTCAAAGAGGTTTTAGGGCATGCTGCCGATAAAGCGTTACAGCAGTCAAGTCTTGAGGTGACAAACGCGTGAATAAGTTTTTCCGCGTCACTTTTAGGAAGGAAATTCCTAATTTTAGCGATGTCCGTAAGTGGAAGTACGCCGTTTTAGTTGCTTGGCTTATATAAGCCTTGAAGGAGAGTTCTTGGTCAAAAATGACTCCAAGATTCCTCGCAGTGTTACTGGGTGTAATGCTGACATTATCAGAGTGATTATCTGGTTAGTAAGGGAGTCACGCAGGCGCTCCGGACCGAGTAGGATCACTTCTGTCTTCTCCGGGTTGAGAAGTAGGAAGTTAAGAGTCATTCACGTTTTAAGGTCCTTTATGCAGCACAAAGCTTTTCTAGCTGATCTGTCTGATTTGGCTTCATCGACAGATAAAGCTGTGTGTCATCTGCATAGCAGTGGAAATTAATTTTAATAATGTTTCCTAACGGCAGCATGTAGAGAGTGAAAAGAATCGGTCCGAGTACCAAACCCTGCGGCACACCGAATTCCACTCCGGAATAAGGCGACGAGTTCTGATTTACATTGACGAAGTGATACCGATCTGATAAATAGGATTTAAACCAGCCAAGGGCTGTTCCTCTAACACCTATATCACATTCTAGCCTCTGCAGAATGTGATATAGCCATTCCACTGGTTTGAATGAGAGCAGTCAGAATGACGGCTCTGGGAGTTCTAGTCTTGTAGACTCACTCTGGTCTCCCTTTCTGGTCTCTCCCTCTGGGTCCTCTCTGGTCTTTCCCTGATCTCTCTCTGCACTCTCTCTAGTCTCTCTCTGGTCTCCCTCTGGTCTCTCTCCAGTCTCTGGTCTCTTGCTGGTCTCTCCCTGGTTTTTCGCTGGTCTCTCTCTGGTCTCTCTCTGGTCTTTCTCTCTGGTCTTTCTTTCTGGTCTCTCTCTGGTCTCTCTCTGGTCTCCCTCTGGTCTCTCTGGTCTCTCTCTGGTCTCCCTCTGGTCTCTCTGGTCTCTCTTTCTGGTCTCTCTTTCTGGTCTCTCTCTGGTCTCTCTCTGGTCTCTGTGAATAGAATCTGCAGTACTTCCCCGTCACCACTGGGTGGAGACGTGTTACTGCGAGCGGACAGTGGAGGCAGTGAAAGAGCAGTTTCATCCATCTGTAGCCGCTGACCCTAAAGTCACTGTCGCCTCCAAACACACACACACAAACACACACACAGACACACGCACACACACAGAAACACACACACACACACAGAAACACACACACACAGAGACACACACACGCACACAGAAACACACACGCACACAGAAACACACGCACACACACAGAAACACACACGGCTGTCAGCTCAGAATGGAGGAGCTGAGCCACGCCTGGATCATGTATCTCCTGAAGCTAAAGAGAGACAGAGGCTCGTGATGAATGCAGTTGTGTGTCTCCGGCAGAGGAGGTGTGTGTCTCCGGCAGAGGAGGTGCGTGTCTCCGGCAGAGGAGGTGCGTGTCTCCGGCAGAGTGTGTTTTCTGAATGTCTCATAATGTTGCTTTAAATACACACAAGAGAATGTCATTAAGTAATAATGATAATAAGTGTATTTATATTGTACCTAACATCTCACACACAAACACACACTTTGGTCTCTCACACACAAACACACACTTTGGTCTCTCTCACACAAACACACACTTTGGTCTCTCTCACACAAACACACACTTTGGTCTCTCACACACAAACACACACTTTGGTCTCTCTCACACAAACACACACTTTGGTCTCTCTCACACAAACACACACTTTGGTCTCTCTCAAACAAACACACACTTTGGTCTCTCTCACACAAACACACACTTTGGTCTCTCACACACAAACACACACTTTGGTCTCTCTCACACAAACACACACTTTGGTCTCTCACACACAAACACACACTTTGGTCTCTCACACACAAGCACACACTTTGGTCTCTCTCACACAAACACACACTTTGGTCTCTCACACACAAACACACACTATGGACTCTCTCACACAAACACACACTTTGGTCTCTCTCACACAAACACACACTTTGGTCTCTCTCACACAAACACACACTTTGGTCTCTCACACACAAACACACACTTTGGTCTCTCTCACACAAACACACACTTTGGTCTCTCTCACACAAACACACACTTTGGTCTCTCACACAAACTCACACTTTGGTCTCTCTCACACAAACACACACTTTGGTCTCTCTCACACAAACACACACTTTGGTCTCTCACACAAAAACACACACTTTGGTCTCTCTCACACAAACACACACTTTGGTCTCTCACACAAACACACACTTTGGTCTCTCTCTCACACACACACACACACACTTTGGTCTCTCACACACACACACTTTGGTCTCTCTCACACAAACACACACTTTGGTCTCTCTCACAAACACACACTTTGGTCTCTCTCACACACACACACTTTGGTCTCTCACACAAACACACACTTTGGTCTCTCTCACACAAACACACACTTTGGTCTCTCACACACACACACTTTGGTCTCTCTCACAAACACACACTTTGGTCTCTCTCTCACACACACACACACGTTGGTCTCTCTCTCTCTCACACACACACACACACACACACACACACACACACTTTGGTCTCTCTCTCACACACACACTTTGGGCTCGCTCACAAACACACACTTTGGTCTTTCTCTCTCGCACACACACACACACACTTTGGTCTCTCACACACACACACTTTGGTCTCTCTCACACACACATACTTTGGTCTCTCTGTCTCACACACACACTTTGGTATCTCTCTCTCACACACACACACTTTGGTCTCTCTCTCACACACACACACTTTGGTCTCTCTCTCACACACACACACTTTGGTCTCTCTCTCTCTCACACACACATACTTTGGTCTCTCTGTCTCACTCACACTTTGGTCTCTCTCTCTCACACACACTTTGGTCTCTCTCACACAAACACACACTTTGGTCTCTCTCACACAAACACACACTTTGGTCTCTCTCTCACACACACTTTGGTCTCTCTCCCACACCACACACTTTGGTCTCTCTCTCTCTCACACACACTTTGGTCTCTCTCTCACACACACACTTTGGTCTCACACACACACTTTGGTCTCTCTCTCACACACACACACTTTGGTCTCTCTCTCTCACACACACACTTTGGTCTCTCTCTCACACACACACACACTTTGGTCTCTCTCTCTCACACACACACTTTGGTCTCTCTCTCACACACACACTTTGGTCTCTCTCTCTCACACACACACTTTGGTCTCTCTCTCACACACACACTTTGGTCTCTCTCTCTCACACACACACTTTGGTCTCTCTCTCTTACACACACACTTTGGTCTCTCTCTCAAACATACACACTTTGGTCTCTCTCTCACACACACACTTTGGTCTCTCTCTCACACACACACACTTTGGTCTCTCTCTCACACACACACTTTGGTCTCTCTCTCACACACACACACTTTGGTCTCTCTCTCACACACACACTTTGGTCTCTCTCTCACACACACACTTTGGTCTCTCTCTCTCACACACACACACGCTCTCTCTGTCTCTCAATAAATGTAATGAAATAAAAAAATATTTTTGTTCTTTTGTGGTGTTTTGCGTCAGTTTGCATATTCTCCTGCCTCCATGACTCTTCACTATACAGAGGGGCCATGTGACCGTTCATCTGCAGCAGCACAGACTGCGGCCCCCACTGAGGCCCCCACTGCGCTCAGGCTGAAGGTCCAGGTCAGAACAGGTCCCATCCGGACTATGCAACAGCCTCTATCCTCAGGCTGTAAGACTGACCACTGCCCCCTCCCCTCTCTCCCCCTCCCTCTCGGCCCCTGTGCCCTCTCTGCCCCCCCCCCCCCCCCTCTCTCACAAACACACACTTTGGTCTCTCTCACACACACACACTTTGGTCTCTCACACAAACACACACTTTGGTCTCTCTCACACAAACACACACTTTGGTCTCTCACACACACACACTTTGGTCTCTCTCACAAACACACACTTTGGTCTCTCTCTCACACACACACACACGTTGGTCTCTCTCTCTCTCACACACACACACACACACACACACTTTGGTCTCTCTCTCACACACACACTTTGGGCTCGCTCACAAACACACACTTTGGTCTTTCTCTCTCGCACACACACACACACACTTTGGTCTCTCACACACACACACTTTGGTCTCTCTCACACACACACATACTTTGGTCTCTCTCTCACACACACACTTTGGTCTCTCTCTCTCACACACACACTTTGGTCTCTCTCTCACACACACACTTTGGTCTCTCTCTCTCACACACACACTTTGGTCTCTCTCTCTTACACACACACTTTGGTCTCTCTCTCAAACACACACACTTTGGTCTCTCTCTCACACACACACTTTGGTCTCTCTCTCACACACACACACTTTGGTCTCTCTCTCACACACACACTTTGGTCTCTCTCTCACACACACACACTTTGGTCTCTCTCTCACACACACACTTTGGTCTCTCTCTCACACACACACTTTGGTCTCTCTCTCTCACACACACACACACGCTCTCTCTGTCTCTCAATAAATGTAATGAAATAAAAAAATATTTTTGTTCTTTTGTGGTGTTTTGCGTCAGTTTGCATATTCTCCTGCCTCCATGACTCTTCACTATACAGAGGGGCCATGTGACCGTTCATCTGCAGCAGCACAGACTGCGGCCCCCACTGAGGCCCCCACTGCGCTCAGGCTGAAGGTCCAGGTCAGAACAGGTCCCATCCGGACTATGCAACAGCCTCTATCCTCAGGCTGTAAGACTGACCACTGCCCCCTCCCCTCTCTCCCCCTCCCTCTCGGCCCCTGTGCCCTCTCTGCCCCCCCCCGACACAATAACTACATCCACAACAATAACTGTCCTTTGGAGCATTTATTCTCTCACAAAATCAAGGTTTATGTTTCTGTGCTGCTCTCTCTGGTCTCTCTCTAGTCTCTCTGGTCTCTCTCTGGTCTCTCTCTAGTCTCTCTCTAGTCTCTCTGGTCTCTCTCTGGTCTCTCTCTCTGGTTTCTCTCTAGTCTCTCTGGTGTCTCTCTCTGGTCTCTCTCTGGTCTCTCTCTGGTCTCTCTCTCCAGTCTCTCTCTGGTCTCTCTCTCTGGTCTCTCTCTGGTCTCTCTCTGGTCTCTCTCTGGTCTCTCTCTCTGGTCTCTCTCTGGTCTCTCTCTGGTCTCTCTCTGGTCTCTCTCTGGTCTCTCCGCTCTCTCTCTGCAGGAGGTCTTCTTTACTCCGCCCAAACATGTTCATAAAAACACTTGAATAATGACGTCACACATAATCCCTTCACAGGATTAGGCACTAACGACTCTAATGAGGCTAATGAGGCTGGAGTTATCACACACAACTCCCAAACTGGCATTTCAGACCCAGAGTGCGTGTGCGTGTGTGTGCGTGTGCGTGTGCGTGCGTGTGTGCGTGTGTGTGCGTGAGCGTGCGCGTGCGTCTTTGTCTGTGTGTGTGTGCATTTGTGTCTGGCATACAGACCTGAAAGAACAAAGATAGACCATAAGGGCAGAGAGAGACCAGAGAGAGAGCGGAGAGAGACCAGAGAGAGACCAGACCAAGAAAATTGTGAAAAAACGCATCTGCGCATGCGTCAGCCGGCGCAGCTCCATTCATTTGAACGAGAGACTTCTAAAGTCCACAGCAAGTAAACTAGAGTGGACCAAAAAAATCCACCCCCCTCAGCATTGACACACATGTGGAACGGAGCTTTGTAAAGACGTTTTTGAGAGGTCTGCCAATGCTATATGTTAGCATTGGCTAATTCTACTTCTGGGTCCACCCCCATCGGCCCGGGGTGGTATTGCAAGCATGTCAGCGCACGTAATTTTTGCCACTTTTGAGCCGGGACCCTCCCCCACTGGTCACGGACAAAGGAAAGGTCAATGTTGAAGCTCTCAGTCCACTTCCTGTTTACAGAGTCTCCTCAGCCCTGACCTGGAGGTAACGTCCAGTTTATTTATATATGTTCATGTTTATAATGATCCAAGGAACACAAGAGGATTTTGGATTTATTTAAGTCAGAAAATAAGTATTTACGAAGATCACAGCTTTTAGGAGAGAGGAGAGAGAGATGAGGAGAGAGGAGAGGGGTGAGGGGAGAGAGGGGAGAGGGGTGAGGGGAGAGAGGAGAGAGAGGTGAGGAGCGAGAGGAGAGGGGTGAGGGGAGAGAGGAGAGAGAGGTGAGGGGAGAGAGGAGAGGGGTGAGGAGAGAGAGGTGAGGAGAGAGGAGAGAGAGGAGAGGAGAGAGAGAGGGGAGAGGTGAGAGAGGAGAGGAGAGAGAGGAGAGGAGAGGAGGGGTGAGAGAGAGGGGAGAGGAGAGAGGATCCCTTCTGCTCTGTGCTCTCCTGATCATTCAGAATATTCTCACATTACAAATATAAACTGTTAATAAAAAGGGTTTCTCTGGTGTCAGTCTTTTTTCTGATATAAAATCTGAAATGAAAACACGTGACATCACTGTTTCCCTCCATGTGGTGTCCATGGAAACGTGAAGCACTTCTATCGGCCGATTGGAACATGTATCCCCATGGAAACGGTTAACCCCCTCCTCTGTTACCATGGCAGCGGTTAGTTAACCCCACCGAGGGTCCAGTCGCCGCGGTGACAAACTCCCATCAGAAGTGGGAGGGGCTTTTGAACGACCAATGACACGAGTCGAATGTGTTTGTGAGACTGAGACACAGTACAAGTATTTTTACTTACCTACGAAAAAATACTAAATCTCTTCCTCTTTCTCTGGTGTCTCTCTAGAGTTTCTCTCCCTGGTCTCTCTCTGGTCTCTCTCTGGTCAGTGTCTCTGCAGTGTCTATTTTGAGATGACATGAACAGGCTCAGTAGTTCTCATTGTACAGTCTGACATCAGCAGGAAGAAAAGACTAGTGGAACCTCTCCTATAGTGTGCCACACAGCCCCACACACACACAGCCACACAGCCCCCCCCCCCCACACACACACACAGCCACACAGCCCCACACACACACACACACACGCAGCCACACAGCCCCACACACACACACACACACACAGCCCCCCCCCCCCCCCCCCCCCCCCCCCCCCCCCACACACACACACACGTTTTTGTTACCTGGTGGGTCCCTTTGACAGGGCCGTTCAGAATGGGACCCATAGACATAATCTTTTTTACTGGGACTACTTTACGTAATACAAAACAGTCAATAGAAAACAAACAACTCTTTTATTAAAGGAATTTTATTTTTGATTTTTTTTTCGAATTGCAGTGATTCTATTTTTGACATAGAATTTAATGCCACTCCATGTCCGATGTCTAAGGTCATCTGGTGAGGCATTAATGCAGGCCAGGCCAGGCCAGGCCAGGCAGTGAGACTTCCCAGGGACTTTTCCAGTCTGTATGAAAGGCGTCATGGTCTTCTCCATCCTCAGATGGAGACCATGGCTTTCTCTAACGTTCTAGGGAGAGAAATAAAAATATATTAGCAATATACACTACCAGGGTTAGGACCAAGCAGCCTGGCTGTAATCCCCCACCTGGTACACTTACCAGAAGGGGCACTGCCACTACCATGGGGTGCATCTGGATGAATGGTTGAAGGTTCTCCGCTTGAAGTTTCTTTTAGCCTGTCCGTTTGTGAGAGGATCTCTACTGCTCTCCCTGTCGCACAGAAAATAAAAATACAAGTGGCCTTTAGGGGAAAAAAAATAATACATATTTTAATAATATCAACAATTACCTTCAGGCTCAATTTGTATCTGGTCGAGGCTCTTTCCTTTGAATTCCGTCACTCTTCCCTGCTCCATGGCCATTAACACTTTGCTGATTTTGGCCAGCTCCAGTGTCCCCTCTGTTAGTCTGTAATATTGTCTGTGGATGCGAATGTCATGGCCGAGGAAGTTGGCTAGTATGTCCATTTCATTCTCTTTCATATTGAGAACTGTAGACATTGTAGCTATGTGCTTTCTAAGATTGGTTGAGGATAGCATCTCTGGATGCACCGCACCACATTCTTTGGCTACCTGGCGTAGGGAGTCTGATCCCCTGATGTGGGTGTCTGCGCCCGGGCGGGAGAAGTATGGGTTATGGTCAGAGATGGAACAGGCCCTTCTGTTCTCCACCAGCACCTCCATCGAAGCAATCATTTCAGGAGTCAAAAGAACCGGCACTTTCCGACTTCTTTTCCCTTTAATTTCAATGCGTTGAAAATGCTGACACAGCTTTTTCTCAAGTTCGGACAGTCCCAGAGCAATGTCAGAATGGATCCCAGTCTTACTTCTTAAGGTAAACGCTGTCAGTGGCATCTTTGAAACCTCACCTTCCCTTCTTCGATTCAAAATAATGACCTCACAAAGAGTCAAAACTGCCAGTTTAGACCAATGCTTAGAGGTTGGCTCACTTATTAGGGTTTGCACATATTCAGGTCGACATACCGTAAAACGGGTACTATATTGTGAGGCGTAGTAATCTGAGGAGCGCTAGAGAAGTGAGCGAGAGAGAAGTCTCCGGAGAGAAGTTAGTGTGCGGGCACTAACTTCTCTCCGGAGACTTCTCTCTCGCTCACTTCCGTCAATAGAAGCAGCGTGACTTGTAGTACACACAGTAGTAGCAGAGACTTATCGGATAGCTAGTTTCTCACAAAAACTTGATGCTGCCTCAACTGTCCTCAAACTAGCTATCCGATAAGTCTCTGCTACTACTGTGTGTACTACAAGTCACGCTGCTTCTATTGACGGAAGTGAGCGAGAGAGAAGTCTCCGGAGAGAAGTTAGTGCGCGGACGTAGCGCTCCTCAGATTACTACGCCTCACAATATAGTACCCGTTTTATCCGCTGAGAAAATCGACAGTTACATTTCTGTGTTACTATACTTTGCAGTGTAACACGTCACGTAACTATATACATTTAATAGGGAACACTTGGAAGAGTTTGGTAGCTTCTAGCGGGAGCTACCTTTTGGGTACTATACAGTATACAGAGGAGGCTGCGTTTGTGCTCCCGTTTTTGCTCCGTTTGCATGACAGAGCGCACGGACTAAGACCAGACAGGTACATATTAACTAGTCTAAGGTAAGGTAAGAACATATGTCAGTATGTAAAAACGGTGAACTATTCCTTTAACCTACTGACTTCTCTCATTTTCTGCCTAATGTAATCATGCTTAGTCTTATCATGCCCGTGTTTTAAGTACAGGTGCTCTCCGAGTCTCAGAATCCCCTTTTCTGCTTTGACAACACCCGTGACCTCATCCTGATGCATTGCCGAAATTAAAGACCACAGCTTTTTGCTGATGCCCTCCGGTACAGGCTGGGCTAGGGAGCAGAGGGACTGGACCCTACTTCTACCTGGTTTAGCCTGGGCATCTTTCTGTGAAAGCCGGCACCTGGCCACATGCCTCCACAGCGACTTTCGCTTAAGCAATGCCCCACAGTCTATACAGTGCAAAAACTCACTGGATTTAACTGGGGAATTTGGCTGTTTAGCTGGGACTAAAGTTCCAATGCCGGCCTTTAAAACCTCAACATTGTGCTCACGGTTTCCACTATTCCTGATCAAATCAAACTGAAGTTTACGTGCTTTAGATTTCACAGGTAGAGCCAATGCTCTGGCTACGTCACTTTCATTTCCATGTTTTCTAGTCAAATGACGGGACATTTTGTGGCAGGACATTGAACAGTAGAGGCAGAAGTGTCTCTTGCTATAAACTCGCCCCCCATTTTTCTTCTTTTGCAGCTGCATGATAAAAATCTTATTTGCCTTTGGTTCGTCACTTTCCGAGTCTTGAAGAAAAGTGTTTTTGATTTTTCTTTTTCCATACTTTTTTACAGGTTTCTTCTTGACAGTTAAATCGTCAGAATCTGAGTCGACTTCATCAATTAGGGACTCTTGACTAAGCTGCACAAACAACAAATAATTTGTAATCATTCTATATAACAATTTGAAGTCATGACTTGTAGTCAGCACTTACCAGTGGTTTGTAAGCGTGCGCTTCAGTGTGCTCCTCCATGATTTCTTGCAGCCTAATGAACCACACACTTGCACCTTTTTTTAGCCTGACACCTGATTTCCTCTGTTGTGCTGCTCCATGATTGGCTCCAGCCTGCTGGACTGAAATTGCCCCAGTGTGCCCCTCCTTGATATCCCGCAACCCACCACCAGGGTTCCGACACATAACACACTTTTTTCAGGAAAGTAAACCTCCAGGGGTCCTTTCCATATTTTTACAGAGACTGCATAAGGACCGTTAGAAAAGCATTACCCATTGATTATTAAGCTTGGACCAGTGGGGTCCGGTGTTCGGGCCCCACCACGTAAAACCAGTCCCCATGACGTGAGTGGAATCTCAGGTTATGGAACCCACCAGGAGTTGAAAACAAGTGCATACAGACACACACACACACACACACACACACACACACACACACAGACACACACACACAGACACACACAGGTGTTGTGGATGAGGTTTAATAAGCGTTACTTTTACTGTGTTGAGGATTCAGAGTTTATAGAAATTTAAAAGCTATGATCGTTACTAATAAATGATAAATGTAGACGTGTTGTTTTGGCCTCGGTCTCTTCTTTCCAGTCCTCCCAAAGCGTCACATTTGGACTCTCAGGGGTCTTTCTATTGGAACAAACGTGTTATATATGAAACCAAAAACTCAGGTCCCTCAGCTTTAAATATCGCAATAGCCCCGGAGATGACCCTGAGTCTGGGGGGATTCCTCTCGTGCCTCCTCCACGTGCACGCGCCTGCCTCCGGAACCACACCTCGTCCCTGCGATGTATGGTACCTGCGCGTATCGCTATAGCAACAGGTGCGTGTGTGCGTGAGCGTGCGTGTATGCGTGCGTGTGCCCGTGAAGAGCCAGAGCATCCATCAGCAGCATCAGCACCAGCGGCGGAAGAAGCACACAGCCCGGATCTCAGACCTCCACAGCCCGAGACCAGGACAGCGGTGCGTGCCTTTCGCCTCTGGCCGCCTCTCGGTTCTCATTCTCCGGGTCTACAGCGCGATGGAGAGCGGGCGCTGACGGGAGATCGCCCCAGGAGCTGCTGCGCGGAACAACAGGTTAGTGTGGTGCGTTTCGAGGCGGATGTGTGGATCAGAGGTCCCGCTGGGTCTGGACAGGACTGGACCAGGACTGGAGCAGGTCTGGATCAGGTCTGGACCAGCTCAGAACCAGGTCTGTGACGAGTCTGAACCAGAACCAAGACAGACGTAACAGGACCGAGACTCGTAAAACGATATTCCTGTTTGTTCTCTCCTTAAACATGATCTTGGGAATGTTCGTTTGGAATTCTGTGTTTTAGAATCGGACTGATTTCTCTAAAGTAAAAACATACATTTATAAACCCAGAAATGCAGAATTACAGGATGAGAATGAGCCTCACATGGTGTCATAGCGCGTGACCATCAACACAGATGTAAAGTGATATCATTATTATAATTATCATTTATGTTTTAAACTCTGATGGTTCCTGCTTTTCATGTTGTTGACTTTGCATCATACGTCTCCTTTAATCCTAAAACCAGGATCATAAACTATGAAGCTTCAGGTCAGGGCAAAACCAGCTGAGCAAAATGTTTGTTGATGGTCTCTCTCTGGTCTCTCTCTGGTCTCTCTCTGGTCTCTCTCTCTGGTCTCTCTCTGGGTTCTCTCTGGTCTCTCTCTGGTCTCTCTCTGGTCTCTCTCTCTGGTCACTCTCTGGACTCTCTCTCTCTGGTCTCTCTAACTGTAGCTCTCTAACTATAGCTCTAACTGTAGCTCTAACTATAGCTCTTACTGTAGCTCTAACTGTAGCTCTCTAACTGTAGCTCTAACTGTAGTTCTAACTGTAGCTCTCTAACTGTAGCTCTAACTGTAGCTCTCTAAATGTAGCTCTAACTGTAGCTCTAACTGTAGCTCTCTAAATGTAGCTCTAACTGTAGCTCTCTAACTGTAGCTCTAACTGTAGCTCTCTAACTGTAGCTCTAACTGTAGCTCTAACTATAGCTCTAACTGTAGCTCTCTAACTGTAGCTCTAACTGTAGCTCTCTCTCTGGTCTCTCTCTGGTCTCTCTCTCTGGTCTCTCTCTCTGGTCTCTCTCTGGTCTCTCTCTCTCTGGTCTCTCTAACTGTAGCTCTCTAACTGTAGCTCTCTAACTATAGGTCTAACTGTAGCTCTCTAAATACAGCTCTAACTGTAGCTCTAACTATAGCTCTAACTGTAGCTCTAACTGTAGCTCTCTAAATGTAGCTCTAACTGTAGCTCTAACTGTAGCTCTAACTGTAGCTCTCTAACTGTAGCTCTAACTGTAGCTCTCTAACTGTAGCTCTAACTGTAGCTCTAACTGTATAATCTCAGTCGTTGCATTGAATAGGTATCTGAGGGTGTTGAAGATTTTCTTTTATTGACCGGTAGTGAGAGAGGGGAGAAAGAAAAGAGAGAGACTAATAATAATAGCAATAATAATAATAATAATAATAATAGTAAAAACATAGGAGTTGAGGTGCTATAATCCAAGGGAGGGGGGGGGGGGGTAATGTTGGTGAAGAGGGGAGAAGAGCCATAACTAGGCTTATTATACAGCTCCTCACAGCAGCAGTAGAATGCTCCATTGATTTTAATGTAATTTCAAAACGTTCTACCGGTCATTATTTTCTATAACGGACCTCTCAAAACAATAATGACCGCTGCCCATGGCAACACTCTCTCTGCTTGTCTTTTAAATGCGTGGATAACTCCGCAAGTAGTTCCGGCCACTCCGGAGCTAGCCACGCTCAATCAACACACTTAAATTTTAATCAGAGAATACTTATACATATACATTCTTCACACACGTGCACGGAAATTTTCTGAATTTTCTGGTCTTGTCTTCAAGACAAAAATACTATTTCTCTGCGTCAAAAAGCGATCGTGAAAAACCCGGAAGTAGTTCCGGCCGCTCAATAAACGCAAATGCCAATCAATCAACGCAATGAAATGTTAATCGGAGAGTAATTTATACATATCCAGTCTTAATACAAGTGCACGGAAGTTTTCAGAATTTTCCGTTTACGTTTTCATGACAAAAACACTGATGTAATGCGAGAAAAGGCGATCCCGAAAAACCCGGAAGTAGATACCGGCACATTTTAGGAACATTTGCAGAGGATGGAATTATGGATTTAGGTTAGGTTTATGTATCGGTCACTCACCGCTGATGTTCAGGATTCTGTGTAAAGTTTTCATGCAGTTCCAGAGAGTTCTAGTTTGGAAGTTGATAGCCTAACTGTTGCTAGCATAGCCACGGGAAAGCCTTTGGGAACTATTTTATTTTCTGTCATTAAATAAACCTTTGGGCATTCCTAAAAGTAGACTGAAGTTTATGTTGTGTGTTCTGTTGGTATAAAGCCATATAATAAGCGGGATAACGTATATTACGCAGGTCATTATCGGAAAATAAGTACCAACAGGGCGAAGCGGACCCCGACGCGCAGGTACTTATTTTCCGATAATGACCTGCGTAATATACGTTATCCCTTACATATTAATGTTTTTGGTATGAACGTAAGTAATCTTTATCCAATCAATCATGAGCATTATTCTTCTCATTCACACAGAGATGGGAGCGAGATGGGAGCGAGGTGGGGGCGAGGTGGGGGCGAGGTGGGGGCGAGGTGGGGGCGAGGTGGGAGCGAGCTGGGAGCGAGGTGGGGGCGAGGTGGGAGCGAGGTGGGAGCGAGGCGGGAGCGAGATGGGAGCGAGATGGGAGCGAGGTGGGAGCGAGGTGGGAGCGAGGTGGGAGCGAGGTGGGAGCGTGGAGGTGGGAGCGAGGTGGGAGCGAGGAGGTGGGAGCGAGGAGGTGGGGGCAAGGTGGGGGCGAGGTGGGAGCGAGGTGGGAGCGAGGTGGGGGAGAGGTGGGAGAGAGGTGGGAGCGAGGTGGGAGCGAGGTGGGAGCGAGGTGGGAGCGAGGCGGGAGCGTGGAGGTGGGAGCGAGGTGGGAGCGAGGTGGGAGCGAGGTGGGGGCGAGGTGGGAGCGAGGTGGGAGCGAGGTGGGAGCGAGGTGGGGGAGAGGTGGGAGAGAGGTGGGAGCGAGGTGGGAACGAGGTGGGAGCGAGGTGGGAGCGAGGCGGGAGCGTGGAGGTGGGAGCGAGGTGGGAGCGAGGAGGTGGGAGCGAGGAGGTGGGGGCAAGGTGGGAGCGAGGTGGGAGCGAGGTGGGAGCGAGGTGGGGGAGAGGTGGGAGAGAGGTGGGGGGAGAGGTGGGAGCGAGGTGGGAGCCAAGTGGGGGCGAGGTGGGAGCGAGGTGGGAGCGAGGTGGGAGCGAGGTGGGAGCGAGGCGGGAGCGTGGAGGTGGGAGCGAGGTGGGAGCGAGGAGGTGGGAGCGAGGTGGGAGCGAGGAGGTGGGAGCGAGGAGGTGGGGGCAAGGTGGGGGCGAGGTGGGAGCGAGGTGGGAGCGAGGTGGGAAGAAAAGAGAGAGACTAATAATAATAGCAATAATAATAATAATAATAATAATAGTAAAAACATAGGAGTTGAGGTGCTATAATCCAAGGGAGGGGGGGGGGGGGTAATGTTGGTGAAGAGGGGAGAAGAGCCATAACTAGGCTTATTATACAGCTCCTCACAGCAGCAGTAGAATGCTCCATTGATTTTAATGTAATTTCAAAACGTTCTACCGGTCATTATTTTCTATAACGGACCTCTCAAAACAATAATGACCGCTGCCCATGGCAACACTCTCTCTGCTTGTCTTTTAAATGCGTGGATAACTCCGCAAGTAGTTCCGGCCACTCCGGAGCTAGCCACGCTCAATCAACACACTTAAATTTTAAGTGGTGGTGGGAGCGAGGCGGGAGCGTGGAGGTGGGAGCGAGGTGGGAGCGAGGTGGGAGCGAGGTGGGGGCGAGGTGGGAGCGAGGTGGGAGCGAGGTGGGAGCGAGGTGGGGGAGAGGTGGGAGAGAGGTGGGAGCGAGGTGGGAACGAGGTGGGAGCGAGGTGGGAGCGAGGCGGGAGCGTGGAGGGTGGGAGCGAGGTGGGAGCGAGGAGGGGGGAGCGAGGAGGTGGGGGCAAGGGGGAGCGAGGTGGGAGCGAGGTGGGAGCGAGGTGGGGGAGAGGTGGGAGAGAGGTGGGGGGAGAGGTGGGAGCGAGGTGGGAGCCAGGTGGGGGCGAGGTGGGAGCGAGGTGGGAGCGAGGTGGGAGCGAGGTGGGAGCGAGGCGGGAGCGTGGAGGTGGGAGCGAGGTGGGAGCGAGGAGGTGGGAGCGAGGTGGGAGCGAGGAGGTGGGAGCGAGGAGGTGGGGGCAAGGTGGGGGCGAGGTGGGAGCGAGGTGGGAGCGAGGTGGGGGAGAGGTGGGAGAGAGGTGGGAGCGAGGTGGGAGCGAGGCGGGAGCGTGGAGGTGGGAGCGAGGTGGGAGCCGAGGTGGGAGAGAGGTGGGAGCGAGGTGGGAACGAGGAGGTGGGAGCGAGGAGGTGGGAGCGAGGTGGGAGCGAGGTGGGAGCGAGGTGGGGGAGAGGTGGGAGAGAGGTGGGGGGAGAGGTGGGAGCGAGGTGGGAGCCAGGTGGGGGCGAGGTGGGAGCGAGGTGGGAGCGAGGTGGGAGCGAGGTGGGAGCGAGGCGGGAGCGTGGAGGTGGGAGCGAGGTGGGAGCGAGGAGGTGGGAGCGAGGTGGGAGCGAGGAGGTGGGAGCGAGGAGGTGGGAGCGAGGCGGGAGCGAGGAGATGGGAGCGAGGAGGTGGGAGCGAGGAGGTGGGAGCGAGGAGGTGGGAGCGAGGTGGGAGCGAGGAGGTGGGAGCGAGGAGGTGGGAGCGAGGAGGTGGGAGCGAGATGGGAGCGAGATGGGAGCGAGGTGGGGTCGAGGTGGGGGCGAGGAGGGAGCGAGAAGGTGGGAGCGAGGTGGGAGCGAGGTGGGAGTGAGGTGGGGGCGAGGTGGGAGCGAGGTGGGGGCGAGGTGGGAGCAAGGCGGGAGCGAGGTGGGAGCGAGGTGGGAGCGAGGTGGGAGCGAGGAGGTGGGAGCGAGGCGGGAGCGAGGTGGGAGCGAGGTGGGGGTGAGGCGGGAGCGAGGAGGTGGGAGCGAGGAGGTGGGAGCGAGGTGGGAGCGAGGAGGTGGGAGCGAGGAGGTGGGAGCGAGGCGGGAGCGAGGCGGGAGCGAGGCGGGAGCGAGGTGGGAGCGAGGAGGCGGGAGCGAGGAGGTGGGAGCGAGGTGGGAGCGAGGAGGTGGGAGCGAGGCGGGAGCGAGGAGGTGGGAGCGAGGAGGTGGGAGCGAGGAGGTGGGAGCGAGGTGGGAGCGAGGAGGGAGCGAGATGGGAGCGAGGTGGGAGCGAGGTGGGGGCGAGGTGGGGGCGAGGTGGGGGCAAGGAGGGAGCGAGGAGGTGGGGACGAGGAGGGAGCGAGGAGGTGGGAGCGAGGTGGGAGCGAGGTGGGAGCGAGGTGGGAGGGAGGTGGGAGCGAGGTGGGAGGGAGGTGGGAGGGGGCGAGGGGAGGGAGGAGGCGGGAGCGAGGGAGGTGGGAGCGAGGTGGGAGCGAGGAGTGGGGGAGCGAGGCGGGAGCGAGGAGGTGGGAGCGAGGAGGTGGGAGCGAGGAGGTGGGAGCGAGGTGGGAGCGAGGAGGGAGCGAGAGATGGGAGCGAGGTGGGAGCGAGGTGGGGGCGAGGGTGTGAGGTGGGAGCGAGGAGGGAGCGAGGTGGGAGCGAGATGGGAGCGAGGTGGGAGCGAGGCGGGAGCGAGGAGGTGGGAGCCGAGATGGGAGCAAGATGGGAGCGAGATGGGAGCGAGGTGGGGGGGAGGTGGGGGCAAGGTGGAGGCGAGGTGGGGGCGAGGTGGGAGCGAGGTGGGAGGGAGGTGGGAGCGAGGTGGGAGCGAGGTGGGGGCGAGGTGGGGGCGAGGTGGGGGCGAGGTGGGGGCGAGGTGGGGGCGAGGTGGGGGCGAGGTGGGGGCGAGGAGGGAGCGAGGAGGTGGGAGCGACGTGGGAGCGAGGTGGGAGCGAGGTGGGAGGGAGGTGGGAGCGAGGCGGGAGCGAGGAGGCGGGAGCGAGGCGGGAGCGAGATGGGAGCGAGGTGGGAGCGAGGCGGGAGAGAGAGGTGGGAGCGAGGTGGGAGGGAGGTGGGAGCGAGGTGGGGAGGGAGGTGGGGGGGAGCGAGGAGGTGGGAGCGAGATGGGAGCGAGATGGGAGCGAGATGGGAGCGAGGTGGGAGGGAGGTGGGAGCGAGGTGGGAGGGAGGTGGGAGCGAGGTGGGAGGGAGGTGGGAGCGAGGTGGGAGGGAGGTGGGAGCGAGGTGGGAGGGAGGTGGGAGCGAGGCGGGAGGGAGGAGGTGGGAGCGAGGTGGGAGCGAGGTGGGAGTGAGGTGGGAGCGAGGAGGGAGCGAGGTGGGAGCGAGGAGGTGGGAGCGAGGTGGTGGGAGCGAGGAGGTGGGAGCGAGGAGGTGGGAGCGAGGTGGGAGTGAGGTGGGAGCGAGGAGGGAGCGAGGTGGGAGCGAGGAGGTGGGAGCGAGGAGGTGGGAGCGAGGAGGTGGGAGCGAGATGGGAGCAAGGTGGGAGGGAGGTGGGAGCGAGGTGGGAGGGAGGTGGGAGCGAGGCGGGAGCGAGGAGGTGGGAGCGAGGCGGGAGCGAGGAGGTGGGAGCGGAGTAGGTGGGAGCGAGGAGGTGGGAGCGAGATGGGAGCGAGATGGGAGCGAGATGGGAGCGAGGTGGGAGCGAGGTGGGAGGGAGGTGGGAGCGAGGTGGGGGCGAGGTGGGGGCGAGGTGGGGGCGAGGTGGGGGCGAGGAGGGAGCGAGGTGGGAGCGAGGTGGGGGCGAGGAGGGAGCGAGGTGGGAGCGAGGTGGGAGGGAGGTGGGAGCGAGGTGGGAGCGAGGTGGGAGCGAGGTGGGGGCGAGGTGGGGGCGAGGAGGTGGGAGCGAGATGGGAGCGAGATGGGAGCGAGGTGGGAGGGAGGTGGGAGCGAGGTGGGAGGGAGGTGGGAGCGAGGAGGTGGGAGCGAGATGGGAGCGAGGAGGTGGGAGCGAGATGGGAGCGAGATGGGAGCGAGGTGGGAGGGAGGTGGGAGCGAGGTGGGAGGGAGGTGGGAGCGAGGTGGGAGGGAGGTGGGAGCGAGGAGGTGGGAGCGAGATGGGAGCGAGGTGGGGGCGAGGTGGGGGCGAGGTGGGGGCGAGGAGGGAGCGAGGTGGGAGCGAGGTGGGGGCGAGGTGGGGGCGAGGAGGTGGGAGCGAGGTGGGAGCGAGGTGGGAGCGAGGTGGGAGCGAGGTGGGAGGGAGGTGGGAGCGAGGTGGGAGGGAGGTGGGAGCGAGGTGGGAGGGAGGTGGGAGCGAGGAGGTGGGAGCGAGATGGGAGCGAGATGGGAGCGAGGTGGGAGGGAGGTGGGAGCGAGGTGGGAGGGAGGTGGGAGCGAGGTGGGAGGGAGGTGGGAGCGAGATGGGAGCGAGATGGGAGCGAGGTGGGAGGGAGGTGGGAGCGAGGTGGGAGGGAGGTGGGAGCGAGGTGGGAGGGAGGTGGGAGCGAGGCGGGAGCGAGGCGGGAGCGAGGAGGTGGGAGCGAGGTGGGAGCGAGGTGGGAGTGAGGTGGGAGCGAGGAGGGAGCGAGGTGGGAGCGAGATGGGAGCGAGGTGGGAGCGAGGCGGGAGCGAGGTGGGAGGGAGGTGGGGGCAAGGTGGAGGCGAGGTGGGGGCGAGGTGGGAGCGAGGTGGGAGGGAGGTGGGCGAGGTGGGAGCAAGGTGGGGGCGAGATGGGAGCGAGATGGGAGCGAGGTGGGAGGGAGGTGGGGGCAAGGTGGAGGCGAGGTGGGGGCGAGGTGGGAGCGAGGTGGGAGGGAGGTGGGAGCGAGGTGGGAGCAAGGTGGGGGCGAGGTGGGGGCGAGGTGGGGGCGAGGTGGGGGCGAGGTGGGGGCAAGGAGGGAGCGAGGAGGTGGGGACGAGGAGGGAGCGAGGGGTGGGAGCGAGGTGGGAGGGAGGTGGGAGCGAGGTGGGAGGGAGGTGGGAGCGAGGCGGGAGCGAGGAGGCGGGAGCGAGATGGGAGCGAGGTGGGAGCGAGGCGGGAGAGAGGAGGTGGGAGCGAGGAGGTGGGAGCGAGATGGGAGCGAGATGGGAGCGAGGTGGGAGCGAGGTGGGGGCGAGGTGGAGGCGAGGTGGGAGCGAGGTGGGGGCGAGGTGGAGGCGAGGTGGGGGCGAGGTGGGAGCGAGATGGGAGCGAGATGGGAGCGAGGTGGGAGCGAGGTGGGAGCGAGGTGGGAGCGAGGTGGGAGGGAGGTGGGAGCGAGGTGGGAGCGAGATGGGAGTGAGATGGGAGCGAGATGGGAGCGAGGTGGGAGTGAGGTGGGAGCGAGGAGGTGGGAGCGAGATGGGAGCGAGGTGGGAGCGAGGCGGGAGCGAGGAGGTGGGAGCGAGGCGGGAGCGAGGAGGTGGGAGCGAGGAGGTGGGAGCGAGGAGGTGGGAGCGAGGAGGTGGGAGCGAGATGGGAGCGAGATGGGAGCGAGGTGGGAGGGAGGTGGGAGCGAGGTGGGAGGGAGGTGGGAGCGAGATGGGAGCAAGATGGGAGCGAGATGGGAGCGAGGTGGGAGGGAGGTGGGGGCAAGGTGGAGGCGAGGTGGGGGCGAGGTGGGAGCGAGGTGGGAGGGAGGTGGGAGCGAGGTGGGAGCGAGGTGGGGGCGAGGTGGGGGCGAGGTGGGGGCGAGGTGGGGGCGAGGTGGGGGCGAGTTGTGACTCTTCCAGCTGCAGTGTGACTGTGGTGCTTGAGATGTGGGAAGAGGACTTATTTTTTGTTATTTTGTTAGAAACAGAACTTTTGTTTTAACCTGGATTTAAACTTCGTCAGAGAAGAAGTCTGTCTCACATTTTCAGGAAGACTGCTCCAGATTAGAGAGATTATGTTTATGGGGCGGGAGTCGACAAGTTTTTCCTTCCTACACACTCCTATATATATGTATATATATATGTGTATAAGTATATACTGTGAGTGCAGCAGCATGTATAAAGCATCATGTGAACTAAGAACTGCAAATACTTTAAATACTTTTCTGCTCCAATAAAATCAATCAATCTGAAACCCTGCCTCTGACTCTGGGACCAGCAGGAGTCCAGTCCCTGTGCTCCTCAGAGTCCCAGCAGGAGGCCAGTCCCTGTGCTCCTCAGAGTCCCAGCAGGAGGCCAGTCCCTGTGCTCATCAGAGTCCCAGCAGGAGTCCAGTCCCTGTGCTCCTCAGAGTCCCAGCAGGAGGCCAGTTCCTGTGCTCCTGGTGTGATTCCTGGTCCTTTGAACTCATACATCTAGAAAACGGCTGTGATTTCTATAAATATTTGACGAGCTGCTCTTCTCAGCTCTGCACACGTCACTTCACATCTGTCACTTGTGGATCAGAGACCAGAGCGAGACCAAAGAGGCACCAGAGCGAGACCAGTGGGATACCAGAGAGAGAGACCAGAGAGAGACCAGAGAGAGACCAGAGAGAGACCAAAGAGAGACCAGAGAGAGACTAAAGAGGGACCAGAGAGAGACCAGAGAGAGACCAGAGAGAGACCAGAGAGAGAGACCAGAGAGAGACCAGAGAGAGACCAGAGAGAGAGACCAGAGAGGGACCAGAGAGAGACCAGAGAGAGACCAGAGAGAGACCAGAGAGAGAGACCAGAGAGAGTCTGTGAGTGTGTGTGTGTGTGTGTGTGTCCGTGTGTGTCTTTGTGCGTCTGTGTGTGAGTGTTTTGTTGGCTCGGTCCCTGTTGTGTGTCTGCTGATGTCCTTGCTCAGTGACTTTGCTCTGGATCCAGTGAGTCGTACTTTTCGCCTGCGCTGAGATGGAAATACACCAGAGATCTGTGTGTGTGTCTGTGAGAGTGTGTTTCTGTGTGTGTGTGTGTGTCTGTGAGAGAGTGTGTGTCTGTGCGAGAGTGTGTGTGTGTGTGAGAGAGAGTGTGTGTGTGTATATGTGTGTGTGTGTCTGTGTAGTGTGTGTGTGTGTGTGTGTGTGTGTGTGTGTGTGTGTGTGTGTGTATCTGTGTTAGTGTCTGTGTGTGTGTGTATGGCTGTGTCTATGTGTGAGGGAATGTGTGTGTCTGTGAAAGAGTGTGTGTGTCTGTGTAGTGTGTGTGTGTGTGTGTGAGGGAGGGAGTGTGTGTGTGTCTGTGTAGTGTGTGGGTGTGTGTGTGTGTGTGTGTGTGTGTGTGAGGGAGGAAGTGTGTGTGTGTGTCTGTGTAGTGTGTGTGTGTGTGTGTGTGTGAGGGAGGGAGTGTGTGTGTGTCTGTAGTGTGTGTGTCTGTGTGTGTGTGTATGTGTCTGTGTAGTGTGTGTGTGTGTGTGTGTGTCTGTGTGTGTGTGTGTGTCTGTGTCGCGTGTCTGTGTAGTGTGTAGGTGTGTGTCCCTCAGTTGTAGCACAGCTAAACAGAACTTTCTTTAACCTGGTTTTAAACATTGTCAGAGAGGAGGCCTGTCTCACATCTTCAGGAAGACTTTTTTAGCAGCATGAATCTGAAAAGCAGCCTCCCCATGTTTAGTTCTGACTCTGGGCACTAACAGGAGTCCAGTCCCTGTGCTCCTCAGAGTCCCAGCAGGAGTCCAGTCCCTGTGCTCCTCAGAGTCCCAGCAGGAGGCCAGTCACTGTGCTCCTCAGAGTCCCAGCTGGAGTCCAGTCCCTGTGCTCCTCAGAGTCCCAGCAGGAGTCCAGTCCCTGTGCTCCTCAGAGTCCCAGCAGGAGGCCAGTCCCTGTGCTCCTCAGAGTCCCAGCTGGAGTCCAGTCCCTGTGCTCCTCAGAGTCCCAGCAGGAGTCCAGTGCTCCTCAGAGTATTAAAATTTAAGTCTGAGTCCAGTATTACCCCGGGACTGAGGCTGTAAACCCACATCACCACAGTATGACATCAGAGCTGGGCATTTTTTCTGTGGTCTTAATTTTACACACTCTGTAGTCCTGTGTGGACATGTCTCCCCCCTCTCTGTTGTCTGTGTGGAAATGTCTCCCCCCTCTCTGCTGTCCTGTGTGGACATGTCTCCCCCCTCTCTGCTGTCCTGTGTAGACATGTCTCCCCCCTCTCTGTTGTCCTGTGTGGACATGTCTCCCCCCTCTTTGCTGTCCTGTGTGGACATGTCTCCCCCCTCTCTGTTATCCTGTGTGGACATGTCTCCCCCCTCTCTGTTGTCTGTGTGGACATGTCTCCTCCCTCTCTGCTGTCCTGTGTGGACATGTCTCCCCCCTCTCTGTTGTCTGTGTGGACATGTCTCCCCCTCTCTGCTGTCTGTGTGGACATGTCTCCCCCCTCTCTGCTGTCTGTGTGGACATGTCTCCCCCTCTCTGTTGTCTGTGTGGACATGTCTCCCCCCCTCTCTGCTGTCCTGTGTGGACATGTCTCCCCCCTCTCTGTTGTCTGTGTGGACATGTCTCCCCCCTCTCTGTTGTCTGTGTGGACATGTCTCCCCCCTCTCTGCTGTCCTGTGTGGACATGTCTCCCCCCTCTCTGTTGTCCTGTGTGGACATGTCTCCCCCCTCTCTGGACACTGTGTCACTCTGAGGAGACGCAGAGGAAGATTCACTTCATTTCCCACAGCTTTAGTTTGTTCTTTCAGTCGTTTCCGTTTCCATGGTGATGTTTGAGAATGAACCAATAACAGCTGTTCATCTGTGACTATAAACGAGGCAAGTTTATTTATAAAGCACAAATCATACACAAGGGGGCGACAGTGGCTCAGTTGGTAGAACATTGGCCTCTCGGTCCTCTCTCTCGGTCCTCTCTCTCGGTCCTCTCTCTCGGTCCTCTCTCTCGGTCCTCTCTCTCGGTCCTCTCTCTCGGTCCTCTCTCTCGGTCCTCTCTCTCGGTCCTCTCTCTCTGTCCTCTCTCTCTGTCCTCTCTCTCAGTCCTCTCTCTCAGTCCTCTCTCTCAGTCCTCTCTCTCTGTCCTCTCTCTCTGTCCTCTCTCTCTGTCCTCTCTCTCTGTCCTCTCTCTCAGTCCTCTCTCTCTGTCCTCTCTCTCGGTCCTCTCTCTCGGTCCTCTCTCTCGGTCCTCTCTCTCGGCCCTCTCTCTCTTAACCCTAACCTTAACCATCTTACTCAGACCACCTTAACCCTAACCTTAACCATCTTACTCAGACCCACCTTAACCCTAACCTTAACCATCTTACTCAGACCACCTTAACCCTAACCTTAACCATCTTACTCAGACCATCTTAACCCTAACCTTAACCATCTTACTCAGACCACCTTAACCCTAACCTTAACCATCTTACTCAGACCACCTTAACCCTAACCTTAACCATCTTACTCAGACCACCTTAACCCTAACCTTAACCATCTTACTCAGACCCACCTTAACCCTAACCTTAACCATCTTACTCAGACCACCTTAACCCTAACCTTAACCATCTTACTCAGACCACCTTAACCCTAACCTTAACCATCTTACTCAGACCACCTTAACCCTAACCTTAACTATCTTACTCAGACCACCTTAACCCTAACCTTAACCATCTTACTCAGACCCACCTTAACCCTAACCTTAACCATCTTACTCAGACCACCTTAACCCTAACCTTAACCATCTTACTCAGACCACCTTAACCCTAACCTTAACCATCTTACTCAGACCCACCTTAACCCTAACCTTAACCATCTTACTCAGACCACCTTAACCCTAACCTTAACCATCTTACTCAGACCCACCTTAACCCTAACCTTAACCATCTTACTCAGACCACCTTAACCCTAACCTTAACCATCTTACTCAGACCACCTTAACCCTAACCTTAACCATCTTACTCAGACGCCTAAACTTATCCAGTCTCCACTTAAGGACATATTATACTTTTTGACATGCGCAAACTGAACTTCCGGACGAATCCGGTTTCCGGGACGAATACGGGAGTGACAGTCCTGACCAGAACCAGGAAGTAGGACCACATTAGTCCTGACTAGAACCAGGAAGTACCATCGCATTAGTCCTGGTCTCAGGTCTCTGCACCAGTGGCTCAGGGACACATAGACTTTAAAGCAGCTCTGTTTGTTACAAGTCTCTCCAAAAGTCCATCTGTGACATGTTAGTCCCACATGAACCAACTCTGAGGAGCACAGGGACTGGCCTCCTGCTGGGACTCTGAGAGCACAGGGACTGGACTCCTGCTGGACTCTGAGATGGGAGCGAGGTGGGAGCGAGGTGGGGGCGAGGTGGAGGCGAGGTGGGAGCGAGGTGGGGGCGAGGTGGAGGCGAGGTGGGGGCGAGGTGGGAGCGAGATGGGAGCGAGATGGGAGCGAGGTGGGAGCGAGGTGGGAGCGAGGTGGGAGCGAGGTGGGAGGGAGGTGGGAGCGAGGTGGGAGCGAGATGGGAGTGAGATGGGAGCGAGATGGGAGCGAGGTGGGAGTGAGGTGGGAGCGAGGAGGTGGGAGCGAGATGGGAGCGAGGTGGGAGCGAGGCGGGAGCGAGGAGGTGGGAGCGAGGCGGGAGCGAGGAGGTGGGAGCGAGGAGGTGGAGCGAGGAGGTGGAGCGAGGAGGTGGGGAGCGAGATGGGAGCGAGATGGGAGCGAGGTTGGAGGAGGTGGGAGCGAGGTGGGAGGGAGGTGGGAGCGAGATGGGAGCAAGATGGGAGCGAGATGGGAGCGAGGTGGGAGGGAGGTGGGGCAAGGTGGAGGCGAGGTGGGGGCGAGGTGGGAGCGAGGTGGGAGGGAGGTGGGAGCGAGGTGGGAGCGAGGTGGGGGCGAGGTGGGGGCGAGGTGGGGGCGAGGTGGGGCGAGTTTGTGACTCTTCCAGCTGCAGTGTGACTGTGGTGCTTGAGATGTGGGAAGAGGACTTATTTTTTGTTATTTTGTTAGAAACAGAACTTTTGTTTTAACCTGGATTTAAACTTCGTCAGAGAAGAAGTCTGTCTCACATTTTCAGGAAGACTGCTCCAGATTAGAGAGATTATGTTTATGGGGCGGGAGTCGACAAGTTTTTCCTTCCTACACACTCCTATATATATGTATATATATATGTGTATAAGTATATACTGTGAGTGCAGCAGCATGTATAAAGCATCATGTGAACTAAGAACTGCAAATACTTTAAATACTTTTCTGCTCCAATAAAATCAATCAATCTGAAACCCTGCCTCTGACTCTGGGACCAGCAGGAGTCCAGTCCCTGTGCTCCTCAGAGTCCCAGCAGGAGGCCAGTCCCTGTGCTCCTCAGAGTCCCAGCAGGAGGCCAGTCCCTGTGCTCATCAGAGTCCCAGCAGGAGTCCAGTCCCTGTGCTCCTCAGAGTCCCAGCAGGAGGCCAGTTCCTGTGCTCCTGGTGTGATTCCTGGTCCTTTGAACTCATACATCTAGAAAACGGCTGTGATTTCTATAAATATTTGACGAGCTGCTCTTCTCAGCTCTGCACACGTCACTTCACATCTGTCACTTGTGGATCAGAGACCAGAGCGAGACCAAAGAGGCACCAGAGCGAGACCAGTGGGATACCAGAGAGAGAGACCAGAGAGAGACCAGAGAGAGACCAGAGAGAGACCAAAGAGAGACCAGAGAGAGACTAAAGAGGGACCAGAGAGAGACCAGAGAGAGACCAGAGAGAGACCAGAGAGAGAGACCAGAGAGAGACCAGAGAGAGACCAGAGAGAGAGACCAGAGAGGGACCAGAGAGAGACCAGAGAGAGACCAGAGAGAGACCAGAGAGAGAGACCAGAGAGAGTCTGTGAGTGTGTGTGTGTGTGTGTGTCCGTGTGTGTCTTTGTGCGTCTGTGTGTGAGTGTTTTGTTGGCTCGGTCCCTGTTGTGTGTCTGCTGATGTCCTTGCTCAGTGACTTTGCTCTGGATCCAGTGAGTCGTACTTTTCGCCTGCGCTGAGATGGAAATACACCAGAGATCTGTGTGTGTGTCTGTGAGAGTGTGTTTCTGTGTGTGTGTGTGTGTCTGTGAGAGAGTGTGTGTCTGTGCGAGAGTGTGTGTGTGTGTGAGAGAGAGTGTGTGTGTGTATATGTGTGTGTGTGTCTGTGTAGTGTGTGTGTCTGTGTGTGTGTGTGTGTGTGTGTGTGTGTATCTGTGTTAGTGTCTGTGTGTGTGTGTATGGCTGTGTCTATGTGTGAGGAATGTGTGTGTCTGTGAAAGAGTGTGTGTGTCTGTGTAGTGTGTGTGTGTGTGTGTGAGGGAGGGAGTGTGTGTGTGTCTGTGTAGTGTGTGGGTGTGGTGTGTGTGTGTGTGTGTGTGTGTGAGGGAGGAAGTGTGTTGTGTGTCTGTGTAGTGTGTGTGTGTGTGTGTGTGTGAGGGAGGGAGTGTGTGTGTGTGTCTGTAGTGTGTGTGTCTGTGTGTGTGTGTATGTGTCTGTGTATGTGTGTGTGTGTGTGTGTGTCTGTGTGTGTGTGTGTGTCTGTGTCGCGTGTCTGTGTAGTGTGTAGGTGTGTGTCCCTCAGTTGTAGCACAGCTAAACAGAACTTTCTTTAACCTGGTTTTAAACATTGTCAGAGAGGAGGCCTGTCTCACATCTTCAGGAAGACTTTTTTAGCAGCATGAATCTGAAAAGCAGCCTCCCCATGTTTAGTTCTGACTCTGGGCACTAACAGGAGTCCAGTCCCTGTGCTCCTCAGAGTCCCAGCAGGAGTCCAGTCCCTGTGCTCCTCAGAGTCCCAGCAGGAGGCCAGTCACTGTGCTCCTCAGAGTCCCAGCTGGAGTCCAGTCCCTGTGCTCCTCAGAGTCCCAGCAGGAGTCCAGTCCCTGTGCTCCTCAGAGTCCCAGCAGGAGGCCAGTCCCTGTGCTCCTCAAGTCCCAGCTGGAGTCCAGTCCCTGTGCTCCTCAGAGTCCCAGCAGGAGTCCAGTGCTCCTCAGAGTATTAAAATTTAAGTCTGAGTCCAGTATTACCCCGGGACTGAGGCTGTAAACCCACATCACCACAGTATGACATCAGAGCTGGGCATTTTTTCTGTGGTCTTAATTTTACACACTCTGTAGTCCTGTGTGGACAGTCTCCCCCCTCTCTGTTGTCTGTGTGGAAATGTCTCCCCCCTCTCTGCTGTCCTGTGTGGACATGTCTCCCCCCTCTCTGCTGTCCTGTGTAGACATGTCTCCCCCCCTCTCTGTTGTCCTGTGTGGACATGTCTCCCCCCTCTTTGCTGTCCTGTGTGGACATGTCTCCCCCCTCTGTTATCCTGTGTGGACATGTCTCCCCCCTCTCTGTTGTCTGTGTGGACATGTCTCCTCCCTCTCTGCTGTCCTGTGTGGACATGTCTCCCCCCTCTCTGTTGTCTGTGTGGACATGTCTCCCCCTCTCTGCTGTCTGTGTGGACATGTCTCCCCCCTCTCTGCTGTCTGTGTGGACATGTCTCCCCCCTCTCTGTTGTCTGTGTGGACATGTCTCCCCCCTCTCTGTTGTCTGTGTGGACATGTTCCCCCCTCTCTCTGTCGTGTGGACATGTCTCTCCCCCCTCTCTGTTGTCTGTGGACATGTCTCCCCCCGCTCTGAGGAAGTGTGGACATTCTCACTTCTGTCTGTGGACATGTTCCCCCCCCTCTGGACACTGTGTCACTCTACGCAGAGGAAGATTCACTTCATTTCCCACAGCTTTAGTTTGTTCTTTCAGTCGTTTCCGTTTCCATGGTGATGTTTGAGAATGAACCAATAACAGCTGTTCATCTGTGACTATAAACGAGGCAAGTTTATTTATAAAGCACAAATCATACACAAGGGGGCGACAGTGGCTCAGTTGGTAGAACATTGGCCTCTCGGTCCTCTCTCTCGGTCCTCTCTCTCGGTCCTCTCTCTCGGTCCTCTCTCTCGGTCCTCTCTCTCGGTCCTCTCTCTCGGTCCTCCTCTCTCGGTCTCTCTCTCTCGGTCCTCTCTCTCGGTCCTCTCTCTCGGTCCTCTCTCTCGGTCCTCTCTCTCTGTCCTCTCTCTCTGTCCTCTCTCTCAGTCCTCTCTCTCAGTCCTCTCTCTCAGTCCTCTCTCTCTGTCCTCTCTCTCTGTCCTCTCTCTCTGTCCTCTCTCTCTGTCCTCTCTCTCAGTCCTCTCTCTCTGTCCTCTCTCTCGGTCCTCTCTCTCGGTCCTCTCTCTCGGTCCTCTCTCTCGGTCCTCTCTCTCAGTCCTCTCTCTCAGTCCTCTCTCTCTGTCCTCTCTCTCTGTCCTCTCTCTCTGTCCTCTCTCTCAGTCCTCTCTCGGCCCTCTCTCTCGGTCCGCTCTCTCGGTCCGCTCTCTCAGTCCTCTCTCTCGGTCCTCTCTCCCTCTCTCTCAGTCCTCTCTCTCGGTCCTGTACCACCACATTAGTCCACACGAGAACCGGGAAGTACCACCACATTAGTCCACACGAGAACCAGGAAGTACCACCACATTAGTCCACACGAGAACCAGGAAGTACCATAACATTAGTCCACACCAGGACCAGGAAGTACCATCACATTAGTCCACAAGAGAATCAGGAAGTACCATCACATTAGTCCACACGAGAACCAGGAAGTACCATCACATTAGTCCACACGAGAACCAGGAAGTACCATCATATTAGTCCACACGAGAACCAGGAAGTACAATCGCATTAGTCCACACCAGGACCAGGAAGTACCATCACATTAGTCCACACGAGAACCAGGAAGTACTATCATATTAGTCCACACGAGAACCAGGAAGTACCATCTTACTCAGACCACCTTAACCCTGACCTTAACCATCTTACTCAGACCACCTTAACCATCTTACTCAGACCACCTTAACCATCTTACTCAGACCACCTTAACCCTAACCTTAACCATCTTACCAACTCCCCTAGGGGTATTATTTTGGCTGTTGTAGGTGGCACTGTTCTGGCATTTTTTGAGTCCCATAAAAATAAACACCAAAATATCAAATTTTTTGCCAGGTCTGATGTTTGGGCCAAAATTAACAACTTTTCATGCATGTTCAGGGGGTCAAATTAAGGCTCAAAGTGCAAAAGAAAAATCTTTTTTTTCCCGACGTCTCGAGCAAAAACAATATAGGTTTTAATGGCACGTGATACATCATTTTAAAGCATTTGAGTTTACGCCGTCACGTCGGGGTGAGTGACAGGCGCTGACGCGTCCGTCACGCACCGCCACCATTTGCATTCACCATTGTGAAAGCAATAGACTAAAAAACTACCTATTCATGCCTAAACTTAACCAGCCATTCCCATAAAATAACCCCAGACCACCTTAACCCTAACCTTAACCCTCTTACTCAGACCACCCTAACCCTAACCTTAACCATCTTACTCAGACCACCTTAACCCTAACCTTAACCATCTTACTCAGACCACCTTAACCCTAACCTTAACCATCTTACTCAGACCACCTTAACCCTAACCTTAACCCTCTTACTCAGACCACCCTAACCCTAACCTTAACCATCTTACTCAGACCACCTTAACCCTAACCTTAACCATCTTACTCAGACCACCTTAACCCTAACCTTAACCATCTTACTCAGACCACCTTAACCCTAACCTTAACTATCTTACTCAGACCACCTTAACCCTAACCTTAACCATCTTACTCAGACCCACCTTAACCCTAACCTTAACCATCTTACTCAGACCACCTTAACCCTAACCTTAACCATCTTACTGAGACCCACCTTAACCCTAACCTCAACCATCTTACTCAGACCACCTTAACCCTAACCTTAACTATCTTACTCAGACCACCTTAACCCTAACCTTAACTATCTTACTCAGACCACCTTAACCCTAACCTTAACCATCTTACTCAGACCCACCTTAACCCTAACCTTAACCATCTTACTCAGACCACCTTAACCCTAACCTTAACCATCTTACTCAGACCACCTTAACCCTAACCTTAACCATCTTACTCAGACCCACCTTAACCCTAACCTTAACCATCTTACTCAGACCACCTTAACCCTAACCTTAACCATCTTACTCAGACCCACCTTAACCCTAACCTTAACCATCTTACTCAGACCACCTTAACCCTAACCTTAACCATCTTACTCAGACCACCTTAACCCTAACCTTAACCATCTTACTCAGACCACCTTAACCCTAACCTTAACCATCTTACTCAGACCACCTTAACCCTAACCTTAACCATCTTACTCAGACCACCTTAACCCTAACCTTAACCATCTTACTCAGAACCATCTTAACCCTAACCTTAACCATCTTACTCAGACCACCTTAACCCTAACCTTAACCATCTTACTCAGACCACCTTAACCCTAACCTTAACCATCTTACTCAGACCACCTTAACCCTAACCTTAACCATCTTACTCAGACCCACCTTAACCCTAACCTTAACCATCTTACTCAGACCACCTTAACCCTAACCTTAACCATCTTACTCAGACCACCTTAACCCTAACCTTAACCATCTTACTCAGACCACCTTAACCCTAACCTTAACTATCTTACTCAGACCACCTTAACCCTAACCTTAACCATCTTACTCAGACCCACCTTAACCCTAACCTTAACCATCTTACTCAGACCACCTTAACCCTAACCTTAACCATCTTACTCAGACCACCTTAACCCTAACCTTAACCATCTTACTCAGACCCACCTTAACCCTAACCTTAACCATCTTACTCAGACCACCTTAACCCTAACCTTAACCATCTTACTCAGACCCACCTTAACCCTAACCTTAACCATCTTACTCAGACCACCTTAACCCTAACCTTAACCATCTTACTCAGACCCACCTTAACCCTAACCTTAACCATCTTACTCAGACGCCTAAACTTATCCAGTCTCCACTTAAGGACATATTATACTTTTTGACATGCGCAAACTGAACTTCCGGACGAATCCGGTTTCCGGGACGAATACGGGAGTGACAGTCCTGACCAGAACCAGGAAGTAGGACCACATTAGTCCTGACTAGAACCAGGAAGTACCATCGCATTAGTCCTGGTCTCAGGTCTCTGCACCAGTGGCTCAGGGACACATAGACTTTAAAGCAGCTCTGTTTGTTACAAGTCTCTCCAAAAGTCCATCTGTGACATGTTAGTCCCACATGAACCAACTCTGAGGAGCACAGGGACTGGCCTCCTGCTGGGACTCTGAGGAGCACAGGGACTGGACTCCTGCTGGGACTCTGAGAAGCACAGGGACTGGTCTCCTGCTGGTCCTCATGTTTCCTCACTCTGTGATTAGTTTGTTTCATTAAATAACAGTTCAGTCTGAGACAGACACAGACTCAGCAGACATGAAATACTGTGAGGTCAGACCCTGTGTCTTGTTCCACAGGTGCTGACCCTGTGTCCTGCTCCACAGGTGCTCACCCTGTGTCCTGTTCCACAGGTGCTCACCCTGTGTTCTGTTCCACAGGTGCTGACCCTGTGTCCTGTTCCACAGGTGTTGACCCTGTGTCTGCTCCACAGGTGCTGACCCTGTGTCTTCTCCACAAGTGCTGACCCTTTTTATTGCTCCACAGGTGTTGACTGTGTGTCCACAGGTGCTCACCCTGTGTATTGCTCCACAGGTGCTGACCCTGTATCCTGTTCCACAGGTGTGACCCTGTGTCTGCTCCACAGGTGTGACCCTGTGTCTGCTCCACAGGTGCTGACCCTGTGTCCTGCTCCACAGGTGCTGACCCTGTGTATTGCTCCACAGTAGCTGACCCTGTATCCACAGGTGTGACCCCCTCTTCCCTGGAGCGACCCCCCACAGCAGGAGCTCTGGAGCCCAGGCGGTCCAGTATGGATGTGCCCCGGATGGCTGAGGGCCTGTTCAGCAGCACGCTCTCAGGGGCCTCGGGGGGACACCATGTGACCTCGTACTTGACGCTGGAGCAGAAGGCGGCCTTCGTCTTCGTGCTGCTGCTCTTCATCTTCCTGGCGCTCCTCATCGTCAGGTGTTTCCGGATCCTGCTGGACCCGTACCGCAGCATGCCGTCCTCCAACTGGACTGACCACACGGAGAAGGACACCTTCGACTACCGCATCGTGTGAGACCCAGAACTATGATCCAGCTTCTCCTGCCAACGGACCTGCACCGGGCCTGCACCGGGCCTGCACCGGGCCTGCACCGGGCCTGCACCAGGCTCCTGCACATGCTCGACTCGGGGCAGAACACGCTAACAACACACAATAACAACACAGACTAACAGCAACACACATACATGTATCTCCTGCCTCTGTGGACACTGCTGCTGGACCAGATCCAGGTCTGACCCTGACTCAGACCCTGACCCAGACCCAGACCCAGAGCGTGTAGAGGAGCCCGGTCCGGAGCGGTCCGTGCCATACTGAGCTGAGCCAGTGTGGACTACCTCCTGCTCATCTCGTGTCTCGTCACAGGGTCCAATCTCACTGTTTACATGTTCTTTTTACACTTTAGTTTTGTAAGGATATCGTAGACAATCAGTGTTAGACTAAGATCTTTAAATATCTGCTGAAAAAGTGTTGTTTTACTTCGTGCACAGGGGTCAAAGTGATGATGATGATGACGAAGAACTCCAATGCCTTATGTCTTTGTCAGAAATGTAGCCATCTTTCAGATCCAGTTTGAGGTTAGATGGAACTGAAAGAGGTGCCCTTTAATTCTGCTTTGGAATGGAGCCGCAGCCACGGAAACTTCTGTCCCATCACACCTGCTTTTATCTGTATTATTGTTATTATTATTATTATTATTATTAATAATAATATTATTATTATTATATTATTGTTATAGGGCTGGTGCTAAGTGTACTGGGTGCAGCTCTGACTGCCACCCCCCCGACCCAGAAATGGATTAAGGGGAAGAAAATGGATGTATGGATTATTGTTATTATTGTTATTGTTGTTATTCCAGAGTTAAGGCTGACATTTGACAGAGGCTTAACACACGACATTTAAATCTCCAAGGCTGACAACGAAATACACTAGCATAGGATTACACACACGCACACAGACACACACACACACACACACACGCACACACACATAGACAGACAGACACACACACACACACACTCAGACACACACACAGACACACACACACACACACACACACACACACACTCAGACACACAATAGTCTAACTATATGCACCACACAGATATTATCCTTCCCGTTTCTGCAATTGCTAAATCACATTTGACGCACAACTTTGCACAGGGTTTATGGACACGATCCGCCTCTGGAGACCCCCCCCTGCCTCAGCGTTGCCATGGTGACAGACAGAAGCACCAGGCACGTGTGTCGAGTGTGTGAAGCAGCGTAGTCTGAACTGAACCGCCAGAGGACATGCTTTCTGTGCAGGTCTTCATGTTTACCGTTCCCATGGCGATGCTTCTGTGTTACACACACAGAGGATCCAGGCACTTTCTTACCAGAATCCAGAATCCAGAGACAGTCACTGTGTCCTGGGTCTCCTCCTGGTCTCCTCCTGTAGATCAGGCCCAGAACACCTCCTCAGGAGGAGACCAGGAGGCCTCCCAAACAGATGAGCCCCTCCCCTGGCTCCTCTCCACATGGAGGCGCTAAAGTCTATGAACACAAAGACCCAGAGTGACTCCACACCGAGACTTTCTCCAAAACACGTCAATCGAGATCAAGTGATAAGGTTTTACAAAATATTAAAATCAAATAATTCAGGATGAAGTGCACAATGGTCTCTGTGGGACAGAGGTCTCTGTGGTGGGACAGAGATCTCTGTGGGACAGAGGTCTCTGTGGTGGGACAGAGGTCTCTGTGGGACTGAGGTCTCTGTGGGACAGAGGTCTCTGTGGTGGGACAGAGGTCTCTGTGGTGGGACAGAGGTTCTGTGGTGGGACAGAGGTCTCTGTGGTGGGACAGAGGTTCTGTGGTGGGACAGAGGTCTCTGTGGTGGGACAGAGGTTCTGTGGCTGCCTCTCCAGGTTGTGGTTGTGGTTGTGGTTGTGGGTTCAATCTCTCGTTGTGTGTCGGAGTCCGTCCTTAGATGTCAAAGACCAAAAGAGGAGACTGTGCCTCGGTGTCTGTGGAAGGACACAGCTGGGGTCTGTCTTTACCTTCTGTTTTTAATGTGCTGCCCATTTCTGAAGCGACCAGGCATGGAACAACTGATCAGAGACTCTAACAGGCTGTAGACCCAGGACTGAGGCTGTAGACCCAGGACTGAGGCTGTAGACCCAGGACTGAGGCTGTAGACCCAGGACTGAGGCTGTAGACCCAGGACTGAGGCTGCAGACCCAGGACAGTTGGGAGAGGATTCATTTTAAGTCCCTTTGCTTCTTCTTCTACCGCAGACAAATGTCAGAGAGCGAGGTTCTCACCTGCAGCGTTCTTTCTGTATCTTTCAGAGATAAGTTCTGATCCGAAAGGCGGTGGCCGACTCTCTGAACTCAACTGAAAACTGGGGCACATTTTTAGAGAAAATCTGGGTGAATTTAAATATAGATAATGTGACTCAAAGATTTAGTTTTGCTTTTCCAGAGTAAATCATACAGAACTGACAGTGACTGTCACGATCAGACCGACAACAATTTATTTATATTTAAGGTTTGACCTGAATTTATTTTTCGTAGATCTAAAATGAAAGAGACATTTTATTACTTTGTTTTGAAGACACAGTTCTGTCTTCTTCAGAGGGGTTAGTGGTCTCTCTCTGGTCTCTCTCTGGTCTCTCTCTGGTCTCTCCCTCTGGTCTCTCCCTCTGGTCTCTCCCTCTGGTCTCTCTCTGGTCTCTCTCTGGTCTCTCTCTGGTCTCTCTCTGGTCTCCCTCTGGTCTCTCTCTGGTCTCTCTCTAGTCTCTCTCTAGTCTCTCTCTGGTCTCTCTCCCTCTGGTCTCCCTCTGGTCTCCCTCTGGTCTCCCTCTGGTCTCCCTCTGGTCTCTCTCTGGCCTCTCTCTGGTCTCTCTCTAGTCTCTCTCTAGTCTCTCTCTGGTCTCTCTCTGGTCTCTCTCTGGTCTCTCTCTCTGGTCTCCCTCTGGTCTCTCTCTCTGGTCTCTCTCTGGTCTCTCTCTGGTCTCTCTCTGGTCTCTCTCTCTGGTCTCTCTCTCTGGTCTCTCTCTTTCTGGTCTCTCTCTCTGGTCTCTCTCTCTCTGGTCTCTCTCTAGTCTCTCTCTAGTCTCTCTCTGGTCTCTCTCTCTGGTCTCTCTCTCTGGTCTCTCTCTGGTCTCTCTCTCTGGTCTCTCTCTGGTCTCTCTCTCTGGTCTCTCTCTCTGGTTGCTCCCTGCGATTAACCAGGGACCACTGTACCATTGAGCCAAGAAAGGTCATAAAAGAAAATAAACCCAAAAATTATTCTGCGAAAAAAAAAAATCAGAGTAGATTATCTCACACTGGATCAGAGTAGATTAGCTCACACTGGATTAGCGTAGATTAGCTCACACTGGATCAGAGTAGATTATCTCACACTGGATCAGAGTAGATTAGCTCACACTGGATTAGCGTAGATTAGCTCACACTGGATTAGCGTAGATTAGCTCACACTGAATTAGAGTAGAGTAGTTAATGAATTTAAGATAGAAAAATAAATAAAACAAAACGATATTAGTGGTTAACACAAATTGTGGGCTCCCAAACAGACCCCTCTCCTGTCCCGGTGCCCCCGCAGGTGTATGCCCATTCATAATCTCATGCACCGCATCCACACACACATGCACGCCCACACACACACACACACACACACACACATGCACGCCTCCCACCACACACACAGACACACACACATGTAAACCTCCCACCACACACACACACACACACACACACACATGCCTCCCACCACACACACTCAAGCACACACACATGCCTCCCACCAGACACACACACACGTAAACCTCCCACCACACACACACACACACACACACACACACACACACGCCTCCCACCACACACACACATGCCTCCCACCACACACACACACACACACACACACGCCTCCCACCACACACACACACACACACACACACATGCCTCCCACCACACACACACACATGCCTCCCACCACACACACACATGCCTCCCACCACACACACACACACACACATGCCTCCCACCACACACTCAAGCACACACACATGCCTCCCACCAGACACACACACACGTAAACCTCCCACCACACACACACACACACACACACACACACACACGCCTCCCACCACACACACACAGACAGGCACACACACACACGCCTCCCACCACACACACACACACACACATGCCTCCCACCACACACACACACATGCCTCCCACCACACACACACACACACACATGCCTCCCACCACACACACACACATGCCTCCCACCACACACACACACACATACACACACATACACGCCTTCCACACACACACACACACACACATGCCTCCCACCACACACACGCCTCCAACATACACACACACACACACGCCTCCCACCACACACACACACGTACACACACGCCTCCCACCACACACACACACACACACACGCCTCCCACCACACACACAGACAGACAGACGCTCTCATGCACACGCCCACAATACATCACTCCTCCACCAGCCAACGTTCATTCACTCACACAGCTCCCGCACGTGTCTCCTGCAGCTACATCTGGTCATTAACTGCAGCTTCCAAAAAAAAGGGCAGATAAATTTTTTAAAGTATGTTTCTGTCCGGGCTCTACAGGGTTAATACGACAGTCTGACTAAAGTGTGACAAAGCTAGCTCTGCATAATTAGCACATGTTTCGGCTGTAGTCTTCCTCTGACGCTAAAGAATCATTAAAGAAGACATGATGAAGTGCGTTGCTCCATGCCTGGCCCTGAACCCTCACCTGGTGTATTGACAGTTGGTATACCAGGAGCGCAGACAGAGTGGACTTCCCTTCTCATCAAACCCTTTATGAACCGATGTGGCTCTTTGTTTTGGGCAACTCTTCAACTGTGCGCCTTATAGTGTAGATTGTTTACAGTTTTGTAGGTGGTGGAGACGCCTGAAGGACCGTCCCACTGCCGCCGTCTCGCCACCGTCACCGAGACGTCATGTGAAAAAAAAAGAGGATACAAAAATCAGACCTGGGTCCACATGGTCCCAGCACGTTCTCGACATTTGGTGTTCTTGTGATCTTTGAGGCCTTCTTCTCTCAGAGAGGTGGAATCAAACTGAGACTCATGACCGGAACACTTTTTACACTTGTTCACCGTAGTCCGATATTATTCACCATCAAAATCACCAATGACAGTTTCAGGGTTAGTCTGCCATATACTGCCCAGACATGGAGGGTTTCTTTGCTGTTTTAAACCCAATAATCATTCCCAAAATGGATGGGCCTTTGACAACGTGCACATTGTCAAAGGCTTCAATGGCCATTTTGAATTTCACCATCTTATTCTTAATCCTAGATTGTATGTAGCAGAGAGAGAGCAGAGAGAGAGAGAGCGGAGAGAGCAAGGAGAGAGCAGAGAGAGAGAGAGCGGAGAGAGAGAGAAGAGAGTAGAGCAGAAAGAGACCAGAGAGAGAGGGAAAAAAACCACAGAGAAAGAGGCCAGAAGAGAGAGACCACAGATAAAGAGGAGAGATAGTAGAGAAAGAGAGACCAGAGAGAGAGGAGAGAGACCAGAGATACTAGAAAAAAGACAGAGAGAGAGAGCAGAGCTGACAAAGAATATTTGAAACTTTGGGACCGTTTTTCAGGTTGATTAAGAAAATACTGTAGCTCTGTAACACATGACCTGTAAAGCACAACAACCACAGCACGATCCACCCCCCCAGCAGTCACTGCAGGTCTCCAGAGCGAGGTCTCGCTGCTGATTCCACCTCTCTGTCCGTTTCCTGAGTCACAGATGTGGCGATGTCGTGCTGCAGTGCTCTCCCGCATGACCCTCTCTCTGTGCATGCTCCACACTCTGAAAAGAGTGCTTCTCCCCGTGACAGTGGCTCCAGCTGTTTCACTGTCTGTAAGGTTTCTCTCTTTCTTTGGAGGGTTCTGCCTCAAGACGTTCTGCTTTTTCTAATAAAACTGATTACGAAGCTTCTGTGTGTTTGTTATTGTCTACATGTGTCAGCGACAAGTGTCATGGACTGTATACTATAAATCTACCTCTGAGATTAGAGAGACCAGAGAGAGACCAGAGAGAGACCAGAGAGAGAGACCAGAGAGAGACCAGAGAGAGACTAGAGAGAGACCAGAGAGAGACCAGAGAGAGACCACAGAGAGAGACCAGAGAGAGACTAGAGAGAGACCAGAGAGATACCAGAGAGAGACCAGAGAGAGAGACCAGAGAGAGAATAGAGAGAGACCAGAGAGAGACCAGAGAGAGACTAGAGAGAGACCAGAGAGAGACCAGAGAGAGACCAGAGAGAGACCAGAGAGAGACCAGAGAGAGACCAGAGAGAGACTAGAGAGAGACCAGAGAGAGACCAGAGAGAGACCAGAGAGAGACCAGAGTGTGAGACCAGAGAGAGACCAGAGAGAGACTAGAGAGAGGCCAGAGAGAGACTAGAGAGAGACTAGAGAGAGACAAGAGAGAGACCAGAGTGTGAGACCAGAGAGAGACCAGAGAGAGACCAGAGAGAGAGAGAGAGGCCAGAGAGAGACTAGAGAGAGACCAGAGAGAGACCAGAGAGAGACCAGAGAGAGACTAGAGAGAGACCAGAGAGAGACAGAGAGAGACCAGAGAGAGACCAGAGAGAGACCAGAGAGAGACCAGAGAGAGACCAGAGAGAGACCAGAGAGAGTAGAGAGAGGCCAGAGAGAGACAGAGAGAGACCAGAGAGAGACCAGAGAGAGACCAGAGAGAGACCAGAGAGAGACTAGAGAGAGGCCAGAGAGAGACAGAGAGAGACCAGAGAGAGACCAGAGAGAGACCAGAGAGAGACCAGAGAGAGACCAGAGAGAGACTTAAGAGAGACCAGAGAGAGACCAGAGAGAGTAGAGAGAGGCCAGAGAGAGACAGAGAGAGACCAGAGAGAGACCAGAGAGAGACTAGAGAGAGACTAAGAGAGACCAGAGAGAGACCAGAGAGAGACCAGAGAGAGTAGAGAGAGACCAGAGAGAGACCCGAGAGAGACTAGAGAGAGGCCAAAGAGAGACCAGAAGAGAGACCAGAGAGAGACCAGAGAGAGAGACAGAGAGAGACTAGAGAGAGGCCAGAGAGAGACAGGTGGAGTTCGTTGATTGACAGGTGGAGGTTTCTGATTGCGGGTTAGTGTGTTCGTTTATGGGGTGGTTGGGGTTGAATAGTTAGTGTGTGGGGATGGTCAGGTGACCTCGAGAGTTGAGGAGTGTGGTGGTGGTCGGGTTCGATCCTAGGCCTTTAAGACCCCCCTTCTCCACGTCACACCCCCCCCACCCCCTAAGCTTCGTCTTCTCCCTCGATCTCTTACAGCTCTTGTGTCAATACAACACTTTAATAAATAATAAAAATAAAACATGTTACACACCCCCACTGCCACTGACTCACACCCACTAGTTCCGTTGTCTCCTCATTCCCTGATCACCAATCTATACACATAGATTACCAATTACGAATTTCTTAACAGTAGGTCAACTCACCAACACCGGGCTCACAATTTTACTCTACTTCCGCCTGTTCTCAATGTCTCTCTACAATCCACCCACCACCTCCCTTTGTCCCATTCTCTCCTCCTTGTTCTTAAGGAGAATTTTTCTGAATCGGTTATTTTGTGAGTGTTTTTATCATTATGAGAGTCAATTTTTTTTTGAGTCTGTTGGCCAGGAGTTCCTCCCGAAAACCCCGTGCTGTCTCCACAGAGATACACCCATCCTGCGTCTCAATTCCTCCTACAGCACTCCATTTCATCTCTGGGTCCGAGGTCTCGTCTCTTATGTCCGTCCAGGGTACCTTCACTCTTCCTGCTCTCTCCCACCCCGCGTATCTCTGGGCGGGTCGTGCGTGCCCGCTCACGAGGGCAAGTGGCCGTCCTCATCCTCTTCTCATCTCTCCCTCCGATTCGAGCTAGAGGGGGGGGGGAGAGGGTTCACACATGCATGCCCTCTCCCCTTCTCGTCTTTCCCTCCATCTACGTCTCATCGGTCTTCTTTCGATCTCGACTCAATTGGGTGGGTCCTCTCTCTGGTCCTTTAACTCTGAGTCTCATTCCTCCTTCGCTCGTTCCTTCCTAGGGTCTCACGAGTCCAATCAACCTCTCTTCCTCGAGACGTCGTTTGGGCGCCTTCATCCGCTCCTGCACTCTTTCGTCTCTCTCTCTCGCTAATTTGTCTGTTCACTCTCTCTCCTAGAGGGGGGTGGGCAGTCTCCCCTCCACAGTCCTCGGAGGGTGCCCGGGCGGAGCTAGGGTCCTAATATACCCTCTCACTGGTATCCATTGGTTTAAAAGCTCCACACTGTCCCCACAAAACTGCCCTCTCTACCGTACTCCTGTGTCGGTTATCCAAAATGCTCTATCAGACTTCTTGCCCTTATTTTTAAATAACACACCTCAAGCAATAATTGTTCCTTAACCCTCTCTCTCTCGACAGCAGACCTCTCAGAAAAAAACGACAACTCGACATTCCTTCTCATGTCTTGGGGGTGTTCCGTCGTTCTTAAGCGCTCTCGTCTCTAAACGTAACCAATGTAACAATGACTCTCCTCGCAAATTCTTACCTTCCCACTGCGCTCTCTCATTCTCATCCATTCTCTTCGTCTGGCTAACCCTCACACGTATCGCAAATTTTAGAGCTCGCACATAGTCTTCCAATACAGCCATGCAATCTCCGCCGCTTCTCAGGGTGTCGTCAATCGGAACCCAGAGGGTTCAGTATCTGCGCAGAGAAAAGGCCCTTACCTCAATGCTTCAAATCCACATGACCTCCTCAAGTCCCTACTCACGCACGAGACGTTCAGAAGACAAAGATATCTCTTCCTTTCGGATCCACATCCTCTCACCTCCCCAAATCCCTGGTCCCTGTTTACCTCATCCGCATATCAAGGGTTGCCTCTTACAAATGTATACCCTCTCCACCTCCATTTCGTAACTGGTCAGATTCAGTAGGCCCCGTCCTCCCTCTGCCCGGGACTTTACTATCTAAGATTCTCGCTCTCTAAACGGCCACGGTAAAACAACGGTCTCCGGTTCTTTCGGGCCGTCCATCATCAAAGGGCAGCTCTCCCACTCTTTTTTCACGCCCCCGTAGAGCATCCCTTCAGGCTCCAAACTTCAACGCTTTTAATTCTTACCTACTTTCATTACCCGTTATGTCGCCCGCTACCATCCTCCCCGCCGACAAATATCGATCGTAATATATACTAAACGATCTACATCCTCCCTCATTCCTCATCGTCCTACGTAGTCTGGAGGTTACTTCTCCCATCTTCCACCAACGCCTTCCCCACAATTTTTCAAATGCCGGGGCAGTTCACGAGCATAACTCTTCCCAATCCGTAGTCCTTCATCCCGATCCATCTCTCAATCCTCTTCCGGCGGCTCCCTTTAACTCGAAGGCTCTAACGAAGCGACTCGTCATTTACACTCACACACACCGTCCGAATCTTTCCCGGGCCGAAATGCCCGGAACTCATCGTGCCGCTCTTCAACCCTTCCGAAACCTAGTCCCAGGCTGTTCTCAGTTAACCAGATCTTTTACGAGCATAGCTACAACCTCTCAACTGCATTCCTTCATACCTCCTCTGTCTCTGCCAGATGTTATTCACTCCACACGGTCGGACTTTCTCTCTCCCCCTCGACAGATCAGGGGGGGGGTGGGGTCATCTAGCTTTCGTGCCTCCGCTTCTCAGCAGCTATCTTCGTCTCTCTCCTCGTGACCTCAATTTACGGATCACTTAAGGTTGACGAACGTTCCATCAAAAGACTTAATAATCTCTGATTCAGCTCTCGGGGTCTAAACGCTAACCTTCCCGCATCTCCAAATTCCCATTCCGCCAGCAAATACCCATCAAACCTGTCTTCACGTCAAATAGCCTTCAGACTCGCCGCGTAGGGCACCCGGGTCTAGGAGCCTCGACTTCCGCGAAAGTTCTTCACAGCAAAGAATCTGGTTTCCCTACGAACCCAAACCCTCTCACGAAAGCACATCCCAGCGAAATCTGGCCACCAGAACATCTAACAACGCCTCCATAGTAAAGTCTCAGCGTATTCCTAACTTAATTCTCCTCCTCCTTCCTTCATCATTATGCGTTGTCCCAGTACGACTATTTACCTCCGCTAGTCGGAATGAGCCCCTCATCCGGGCTCCTCGTCTCTATCAGGATCTTTAGCGCGTCCCCTACACCTCTCCCCATCCCCTGTATACGAGAGTGTCCTGCAACTTTCTCCTCCCTCTCTCCGTTGAACAACCTTTGCAAACGATCCAATCTCACCCATTCCGAACAAATCTCCTCTTGGATGGAGCAGTCTCAACAACAAATGACTCCCGCACGAGTCTCATCACCTCCTTCACTTCTCATCAACTACAAAGGCAGAATTAAATCTCCGTAATAATTGCACCGCTCAGGCACTAGAGCCTTACGTCAGAGTTCGAACGAGTCCCATCCTCCAAGTTTCCGTTTCATTCTCTCCCATCGAGCCACGAACATACACTGCAAACTGGCTCACAGGCGAGTTCTCTCTTTACAATCATCTCTCTGTTATGGGGTCACTGACTCACGTTCCGACCCTTCGTGAGAAAGAGTTCTCGCCATGTTCCCGCTGTCGTATTCATTTAAAGGAGTTCGTCAACCGGGTCGCTTTCAATTCAATCTGTCAGTTTCCCTCCGACCCCTCTAAGAGACATGACCAGTCACTCGAAATTCGCCTCTCTCCCCATTAGGGAGCCTCCACGAGACAAATTATAGTCTTCCCGGAGGCCTCTCTGTCTTCCTACAGGCACTCCTCCACTATCTTAAACCTCTGTTGGTTTACTCTCTTACGCTCAATGGGAGGTGGGGGTGAGGTAGATCCCTCCATGAATTTGTCTTTTCTTTGGTTGATATTGATTCTTCGACTTATCGTCACCCAGGCAGCATCAACACTTCGCTAATCTCATGCGTTCCGGTGTCTTTCCCCTCAATCCCACAAATAACGGAACACGTTCGCCCCCGACTACTTTCCCATAATATCACTCGACCCCATATCCATCTTCTCATATCCCTTGAAGGACAGCCACGAAGCAGTTAGTTCGGCGAGAACTCACTTCGATATCTCTCCAATCCTGAAGGATGCCGACACAGCCCTTTATCCTCCCTCTTCCGTCCTCACAGCCCCTCGGAGCAAGTTCGTTGAAGAATACATGCAATCTTGTCCCCTTCACGTCGTGTCCATCAACCAGAGGTCAACAATACCCAGGAGCTACCTCCGCGGAACAACCGGCGCGAACACGTTGGTCGCGTGAAACCCATATCCACACCGCTAGCTTATAAAATTTATTTAGCCCACACACCCCTAAGCAATCCGCCTAAATAACCGAATAAACTCCCGTTCTCGCGATCTCACCACTGTCCACAAACCATGTGCTCACCTCTCTTCCCCCGCAGCGAGTCCCAAACGCGCTCTGGAGGTAAGGCCCCCCACAACCGCCCGCTCCTCAAGAGTCAAAGTGAAAATCAAAAATATCTCTGATAACGGCCGTTCCCAACAATCAACAAGGTAGAGTGCTCCGCTCTTCTGCGTCATCAGTCGCCCATAACCCGAATCATATTCTTCACCGCCCAGACCAGGCACACCATCTCCACGTCTCCTCTATGGAGATCACCCCACAAGACAACTTCCATCATTACTCCACTCACGGTACCTTCCTCCAGGCATAAGGAATCACTGTATTTTTTTCACTGGGATTCCCGGGGAGATAGTTCGTCATTTGCACGCAACTTCCTCTACTACATCCCCGTCGACTCGAGGGTCATAGTAATCATGCTCCTTACGTCAGCGAGTCCAAACAACCTCGTTAGCAAGACTCTACAGCTCTCCCTGCGTGTTCTCTACCAAGTCCTTCCGCATTTCCCCTGACCGTTCAGATGCAGCTTCCACGTGAAACTCTCACACGGAGAACAACAGTCATGTCAAAATGTCGTTAGGGTCCTCATCGAACGAATCTGTACGTTCTCTCACCCTCGTCTTTGTCGCAATCTGGCACCTCATAAGCTCCTCCCAGACCTTCTAAGTCAATAGTCTCTCAACCAAATACTTCTAGGTCTCCCATCTCATCAGGCACCACATCTAGTCTGTACCACGCGTAAAAGCAGGCACCATGACACCGACCTCGTCTACAATCGGCGTCTTCAAAACAGCCCTCACACAGGCCACCCTGACTACGTTCGGTGACCCTCTGAGAATAACTTTCGATAGGCATTGCTCTGACTACTGAATCTCACTACAAAGCTGCTCCCGATACAGATATCCCGCATCCTGCAACTAGTTGCTCATCACCATCACCAAGTCGACAGCACAACCCCTCCATAGCCACGCTCTCTCTCTCGAAGACCCGCGCTAGCCGCTTAGTAGGTTGCGCTCATCTCCGAATCAGTCACGCTCTTTTCAAACACGGGTGAACGCTTCAGCATACACGAGAATTACATAGGCCATCTTCCATCTATACTCCTCTCGAGGCTCGATCGAGGACGCAGATTCCCCACTCTTCCAGGTCACTCTCTTCTCCGATCTGCCTTCCTTCGTTTTCACTTCGCCGTTCAGCTAGTATAACCTTCTCACCCATCGGCCCAAACACCTCCTCTAATCTCTTCGGTAGTTGACGAACGCCTCCTCCTGGTCTCCTCACTTCCCCTCCCATCGTCTTTTCATAGTCCCTTTATTTTATCCTATTACTTAAGGATAACTCGACGCCAGGGAGGAATCCTCTCCTGCTACCCCTCCAATGCTTCCCATCTTAATTTCCACTTCCTCTAACTCACCCTCACTTCCCATTCTTCAGGTCCTATTCATCCAGTCCCCCGCACTTCGGGATCTGTCGATTCTCGTATCCGTCCCTAAATCATCTCAATCCACATAAATCTCTCACTCTCCTCTCTTCTTCAGGGCTCTAAAAGCTTACTCTCTCTTTCGCTACCAATCATCTGTCCTCTCGATTCATCATTCCCCATCTATACGACCGATCTAGTTGTAGCCCCTCACTGTCCTGCTTCGTGCCCTCCTCCATCCATCTCAATCCCTCACGTCGCCGTCCACTTCTGATATCAACTCTCCCTCTCTCATCCACCCGACAGCCCCGCTTCTATCCCCGACTTCGCCCCTCATCTACTCAGGCATCCCCTATTTCTCTCACCCTCCAATCTTCCCTCCCCACTCCACCTCTCAAAATCTCTTCGACTCAATAGATGAATCCACAGCTTCGCACCCCTTTCGATCCGATGGTCCCCGCTTCTCTCGTCTCTACCGCTCACCATTCATGACCCCTCTCTATCTCATCGTTCATCGCTTCTCTCCCGCTTCCTCTCTCGAAATCTCACCCCGCGACCACACGTCTGTCTCTCCATCCACCTTCATCGCATTCGCCCCGTCACCTAACATCTGTACAACACGGGAGGCTCTCTCTCGCATTTCTCTTTCACTCTTGCCATCCCTCCCCCGCCCTCAATTCCATCCACTTTACTCTCACACTCTACCGTCCAATCCGTACCCCTACCTATACCTAACCCCCCCACGTCATCTCCACCCCATCAAACCGCACTCTTCTATAAGTGTGCAACCTCGGCCGTGCCAACACGGACAGATACATCCGACCGCCTCCCAATTCCCAGACGCACACCCAGTCCGCTCGAGTTCTCTAGCTTCGCTCATTCCTGCCACCTTTCGTGCGACCTCTTATCGAACTCATAGTCTCATTCGACTACAGCCCATCACACATCCCAGACCCGTCCCCGTCCGATAAGACTTCCTCATCCCTACCAAGGCACCAGTCTGGCGTATGATGATATAGAGGATGTAGTACGTATCCCATACCCCTTCCCTGATTAACACAAACCTCTATCCTCATTTCCCCCAACACCCACCCTCCCCTCCGTTTACCTCTTTCCAAATATCTCTTATCACCTACGCCTGTTCTCTCGCCTTCACGCATCGCCTCCTCCTCATCTAACCACCGACCCCCCTCCAGCACTCTGTTCCTCACCCGTCATCTCCGTCTTCATAGTGAGTCTCTAGGTCTTCTCTTGGTCATAACAAGGTTCACCCCTCCCCTCCGCATTTCTTCCTCCGATTACCCCTCATCCTTAGACTCAACGATCTACAGACCCTCTAACCCATCCCAGATCGGACCGCGGCTCCTCTCGCCCGCGAACTCATCCAGACTATCCGCGGGATTCACTTCGTATATCCACACTCACCTCCAAACTATCTCAGACTCTCACTACCAACCCACACACCACAACAAGTGGCTCTTCTTACTCTCCTCACTTTCCCACCCCAGAATCTCTACACTCGCCTGATCCTCCGCACACTCAGTCAACCTCCACACACACTTCCTCATTCCATGCAAGAACTGCTCCGCTGCACGAAACTCCAAGTAACAAACGTTGCCCACCTAGTCAGAGAATCCCATACGCTTCCTCTCTCTCCACACCTCCCCCCCCCCCTCGCATCAATACCCCCACTCGTCGACACCTCTCCCCCACACTCACCCCTCATTCCCATCCCTCTGCCCCCCCTCCTAGCGATATCGAGATATCCACCTCTCATCCTCGACCCTTAGTGGAGTATAGGGGTTCTTCTATTCCATCACAAGCTCTCGGCATCACCCGAACCCCCCCCCCTAACCCTCTCCCCCATCAAATGGCTTCCCCACTCTGTCATCTCCTCCCCTCTCTATCGGTATTATCGATGCATATTCATCTCCTCTCAAGAGAATAGCGTCACACACCATCTGTCTTTCCGCTCACACCCCCCCTCCGGTACAACTCCCAACTCTAGAGAATACCACCCTGCGAAGACTCTAGCTCTCCCTTCTCCACCCAGACTCCATCCAAAAATGAGTAAAGGCTCCAGCATTTAGCTCCCCACATTCGCAAACCACTATCCAACTAGCTCTACCCTCCGTTCCTTACTCCATCCCAGCCTGCCCCCTTTCTAGCGACTGAGCGACCATCAGCCACCCCACTCGTCTCTCAGCGACCGACCTCAGTGTCGTCATCTCACATCTCACCTCCTCCTACCTCAATTCCTTCCCTCCCCCAATTTAATCTAGTCTCGAACCGTATCTCCCTCCCACACGCCTCCGGCACAGTTCCGATGTACTGCCCTCAATTCATGTTCTTCTCTCTCCTACTCCGACAACCTACTGGCGATATTCCGCTCCTCCTCCCCCTCAACTCCCAATATACGTCCACCATTCTGATCAGGTCAAGAGCCATGGATCCAGGTCCTTTCCCTTCCCCAACTAGCTCCTACTTCGCACATACGCCTCCCCCGCCTCACTCCCACTCGTCGCCGCACTTCCTCACAACCCAGTCCTGCAATCTTCCCGGTCCGAGCGGCTCCCACCCCACTCTCTCATCCCTCCTCTCGAACAGTCGTGCCTTCTCCACTCCCCTCATTCCACAGCATCCTCCGTCCGAGTAAAAGACTCAAGCCCCCTTTCAGCTCCTCTAAACCGCCCCCCCCCTCGGACTCTCCTGCATCTTATTCTGATATCCAACAGGCCCTCCCGACTACTTCCATTATCGTCAGCCCTTACTTCCGGACCTCCCCCCATCCCCCTCTACGCACAACACTCAACCAACGTTTCCTCACAAAAAGTTATTCCATTGGTCTCATCATCCCCCACCGCTACCCCCTCCCTCGAATCAAACTCCTACTCACAGCTATCACAGTATGCGGCCGTTCACCTCTCTCTCCTCATGTGAGCACCCTTTGACCATTCTCCGGTTACAGCATCCTTCGATTACACATCCATCGGTAACCCGCCGCTTGAGCCACGGCCCTTATCCACACACATTTCCTTCACCCCACTACCCAGCGCCTTCAATCTTACATTGGGGCCCTCTCGATACCTCTCCGTCCCCCTCCGTCAAATCTCCACCAAGCATGACTCCCCCTTCCTCATGCCGCAAACTACCAAGCACCCCCCCCACGCACCTGAAACCCCTACTCAGTTTCAGCTAAATTCGGGGTCCGTTCCCACCTCTCTCGTTCCGTCCCTCTTAAGTCCCGTCTCTCACTGTCAGAGCCACCATCTCTTCTCTCCCATATTGCTCCGGAGCCCAGCTCTCCCCCCTTACCCGCCTCGTCCTCAGAGCCTGACCCTCTCGCTCTCCTCCTCCGGAGTACTATTACTCCAAAGCTCACCACGCCCTACAGTCCTTCGCGCAACCTTAACCTGCCAGGAAAAATCTACGAACGCCCGAACACCAGAATCCCCTCTCCAAGGTTCTTCGTACATCACTTCTCTATCCCTCAATAATACACCGTCACCCTCCTCCTCACTTTAACATCTCCTCCACCATGCCTCTCAACACACACACGCCCCTTCTTCTAGTCTTTCTCCCCTTGCACGTCCCACCTTCAATATCTTCTGCCCATCGGCCGTCCAAGTACCTCTTCACCTCCTGCTCTCAAGCTCATCACTCGTCTTAGTCCTGGTCACTCTCACACTTCTAGCAGAGAGGGAGGTTTGGGTGAGGGAGAGGTGGGGTCTAATAATTCTATTGTTAATTCTCCTCATCCAATTCCTTAGTCTCGCTCTTCTCATACTCCGCGAAAGTCTCTACTCTCGTTCTAGTTTCTCCGAAACTCTCCCGTCCCGCCTGGCCCCCCGCATGCGACAGACATCCTCAGACGTCTGACAACCTCCCACCCCACCCCTCCCACCATTCTCTCCCAACCGCACACAGGCTGTCTCCTCTCTTACCCCTACACCTTCTCTCATCTCCGCTCGATCGATCTTCACCCACTCTACCTCACTTCTAAATCGCCCACTCGCAGGAGTGAAACTCAAAAATCACATAATCATCACACCCCCCCTCCCCAACCCCCCCCCCCTCTCGCCCCAAGAGATCTTTTCTCCAGGCCGTCCACTATCAGTTCCATCGCTTGTCTCTACATAGCTGCCCACGGTATCACACTCCTCGTCTCCCCCCTTTCTCAAACCTCTCTCTCCATTTAACTCCCGCCTTCGTCGCAAACAACCCTCTCGACGCACCAGGCATTTTTCGCCCGCTTAATCACAGGGTCCTCTTACGGCACCCATATGCTTCCTCACGCACCTCTCGTCTCCTCCTAACATGTACTTTATATTCCCCCCCCCCCGCCCCCCTCAACAGACAATCATTCTCCTTCTCCCCCAAAGAACCCGTTTCGAGGACATTGAACAGTAGAGGCAGAAGTGTCTCTTGCTGTATACTCGCCCCCCATTTTTCTTCTTTTGCAGCTGCATGATAACAATCTTATTTGCCTTTGGTTCGTCACTTTCCGAGTCTTGAAGAAAAGTGTTTTTGATTTTTCTTTTTCCATACTTTTTTACAGGTTTCTTCTTGACAGTTAAATCGTCAGAATCTGAGTCGACTTCATCAATTAGGGACTCTTGACTAAGCTGCACAAACAACAAATAATTTGTAATCATTCTATATAACAATTTGAAGTCATGACTTGTAGTCAGCACTTACCAGTGGTTTGTAAGCGTGCGCTTCAGTGTGCTCCTCCATGATTTCTTGCAGCCTAATGAACCACACACTTGCACCTTTTTCTAGCCTGACACCTGATTTCCTCTGTTGTGCTGCTCCATGATTGGCTCCAGCCTGCTGGACTGAAATTGCCCCAGTGTGCCCCTCCTTGATATCCCGCAACCCACCACCAGGGTTCCGACACATAACACACTTTTTTCAGGAAAGTAAACCTCCAGGGGTCCTTTCCATATTTTTACAGAGACTGCATAAGGACCGTTAGAAAAGCATTACCCATTGATTATTAAGCTTGGACCAGTGGGGTCCGGTGTTCGGGCCCCACCACGTAAAACCAGTCCCCATGACGTGAGTGGAATCTCAGGTTATGGAACCCACCAGGAGTTGAAAACAAGTGCACACATACACAGACACACACACAGACACACATACACACATACACAGACACACATACACACACACACACACACATACACAGACACACATACACAGACACACACATACACAGACACACACACATACACAGACACACACACACACACACCCATACACAGACACACGCACACACATACACACACACACAGACACACACACACAGACACACGCACACACAGACACACACACACAAACGCATGTCATACACACACACACACACATACACAGACACACACACACAATAGCATGTCATACACACACACACATACACAGACACACATACACGTTTTTGTTACCTGGTGGGTCCCTTTGACAGGGCCGTTCAGAATGGGACCCATAGACATAATCTTTTTTTACCAAGACTTTAAGTAATACAAAACAGTCAATAGAAACCAAACAACTATTTTAAAGGAATTTTATTTTAGATTTTGTTTTCGAATTGCAGTGATTCTATTTTTGACATAGAATTTAATGCCACTCCATGTCCGATGTCTAAGGTCATCTGGTGAGGCATTAATGCAGGCCAGGCAGTGAGACTTCCCAGGGACCTTTCCAGTCTGTATGAAAGGTGTCATGGTCTTCTCCACAGCCTTCACCTCAGATGCAGACCATGGCTTTCTTACACGTTCTAGGGAGAGAAATAAAAATATATTAGCAATATACACTCCCAGGGTGAGGACCAAGCAGCCTGGCTGTAATCCCCCACCTGGTACACTTACCAGAAGGGGCACTGCCACTACCATGGGGTGCATCTGGATGAATGGTTGAAGGTTCTCCGCTTGAAGTTTCTTTTAGCCCGTCCGTTTGTGAGAGGATCTCTACTGCTCTCCCTGTCGCACAGAAAATAAAAATACAAGTGGCCTTTAGGGGAAAAAAAATCATACATATTTTAATAATATCAAGAATTACCTTCAGGCTCAATTTGTATCTGGTCGAGGCTCTTTCCTTCGAATTCCGTCACTCTTCCCTGCTCCATGGCCATCAACACTTTGCTGATTTTGGCCAGCTCCAGTGTCCCCTCTGGTAGTCTGTAATATTGCCTGTGGATGCGAATGTCATGGCCGAGGAAGTTGGCAAGTATGTCCATCTCATTCTCTTTCATATTGAGAACTGTAGACATAGTAGCTATGTGCTTTCTAAGTTTGGTTGAGGATAGCATCTCTGGATGCACCGCACCACATTCTTTGGCTACCTGGCGTAGGGAGTCTGATCCCCTGATGTGGGTGTCTGCGCCCGGGCGGGAAAAGAAGTATGGGTTATGGTCAGAGATGGAACAGGCCCTTCTGTTCTCCACCAGCACCTCCATCGAAGCAATCATTTCAGGAGTCAAAAGAACCGGCACTTTCCGACTTCTTTTCCCTTTAATTTCAATGCGTTGAAAATGCTGACACAGCTTTTTCTCAAGTTGGGACAGTCCCAGAGCAATGTCAGAATGGATCCCAGTCTTACTTCTTAAGGTAAAGGCCTGTCAGTGGCATCTTTGAAACCTCACCTTCCCTTCTTCGATTGAAAATGATGACCTCACAAAGAGTCAAAACTGCCAGTTTAGACCAATGCTTAGACGTTGGCTCACTTATTAGGGTTTGCACATATTCAGGTCGACATACCTCAATATGTGCATGCATGGCTCTAACGTCCTCAGTCAGAGGGAGCAGGTCCGGAGTGTTCCACTTGGCTTGCCGGAGGGTCTGTAGGGCAGCAGAAGAAACACAGACGTCCCACCTCTTCTCAAAAAGCAGCCGGCTTCGTTGGAGGTTTTTAATAAATAGTTCATCAACACAATGCTCCATTTTTGAGTCACATTCAAGAATATCTGCTAGCTTTCTGAGGCTATGGCCGAGTTTGAGGGCCAAGGATGGAGTCTTGTATTGATTTGTTTCCTCATCATATCCAGCCACAGACCTGACTGCATCAATCACATGGTTAAAGTTGGAAGGAATAAAGAAATCCTTAATTGTTTTCAGTTTCCCTGCGGTTTTTGCTTCGTTAATTAACCTACCGACTTCTCTCATTTTCTGCCTAATGTAATCATGCTTTGTCTTATCATGCCCGTGTTTTAAGTACAGGTGCTCTCCGAGTCTCAGAATCCCCTTTTCTGCTTTGACAACACCCGTGACCTCATCCTGATGCATTGCCGAAATTAAAGACCACAGCTTTTTGCTGATGCCCTCCGGTACAGGCTGGGCTAGGGAGCAGAGGGACTGGACCCTACTTCTACCTGGTTTAGCCTGGGCATCTTTCTGTGAAAGCCGGCACCTGGCCACATGCCTCCACAGCGACTTTCGCTTAAGCAATGCCCCACAGTCTATACAGTGCAAAAACTCACTGGATTTAACTGGGCAATTTGGCTGTTTAGCTGGGACTAAAGTTCCAATGCCGGCCTTTAAAACCTCAAAATTGTGCTCACGGTTTCCACTATTCCTGATCAAATCAAACTGAAGTTTACGTGCTTTAGATTTCACAGGTAGAGCCAATGCTCTGGCTACGTCACTTTCATTTCCATGTTTTCTAGTCAAATGACGGGACATTTTGTGGCAGGACATTGAACAGTAGAGGCAGAAGTGTCTCTTGCTGTATACTCGCCCCCCATTTTTCTTCTTTTGCAGCTGCATGATAACAATCTTATTTGCCTTTGGTTCGTCACTTTCCGAGTCTTGAAGAAAAGTGTTTTTGATTTTTCTTTTTCCATACTTTTTTACAGGTTTCTTCTTGACAGTTAAATCGTCAGAATCTGAGTCGACTTCATCAATTAGGGACTCTTGACTAAGCTGCACAAACAACAAATAATTTGTAATCATTCTATATAACAATTTGAAGTCATGACTTGTAGTCAGCACTTACCAGTGGTTTGTAAGCGTGCGCTTCAGTGTGCTCCTCCATGATTTCTTGCAGCCTAATGAACCACACACTTGCACCTTTTTCTAGCCTGACACCTGATTTCCTCTGTTGTGCTGCTCCATGATTGGCTCCCGCCTGCTGGACTGAAATTGCCCCAGTGTGCCCCTCCTTGATATCCCGCAACCCACCACCAGGGTTCCGACACATAACACACTTTTTTCAGGAAAGTAAACCTCCAGGGGTCCTTTCCATATTTTTACAGAGACTGCATAAGGACCGTTAGAAAAGCATTACCCATTGATTATTAAGCTTGGACCAGTGGGGTCCGGTGTTCGGGCCCCACCACGTAAAACCAGTCCCCATGACGTGAGTGGAATCTCAGGTTATGGAACCCACCAGGAGTTGAAAACAAGTGCACACACACATACAGACACACACACACACACACATACACAGACACACATACACACACATACA